GAGCCCAAACATCGATAGAGAGTCCAATCTCAAGAGCAAGTGAATCAATACTGAGGATATGGAGTAGATCTTATTATATTGTTGGTGTGGCAAGCGAGCTCCCAGTGATTATAGATAAATGTCCTCGAACGTATACTCGACGATAGTAAAGATATGACAGGAATTGTTAGTATTAGTAGGAGATGCGCTGATGAAGCTGCCGTATCCAAGATAGGATTTCTATCACGCGTGAGAGCCATGATTCTCAGGCGGCTTGTCCTCCTTCCTAATATGACATTTCTACCCATCCAAGTACTCCTTCATCAGGAACTGTCCTCTGGGATGCTCATGACGAAATCACTTCCATCCACTCCCTATCTTTTCCACTCCCAAAAGGTGTCTCACCAGCCCATTCGATCCAGACTACCAGCAATTGTACTCTAGGGAAGCGGTTCATCTTTAACAAACTACCACGTTTTTGTCAATCAATTTTATTTACTGGACATACCATTGTCTCTGATGAGTGTAGGACATGTTGTACCGTCTAACTCAACATGGGAAACGAAAGCCCTGACCCGTTAGTGGGTGATCCTTTGACTATGTCCGAGAGAGAAAGAGACAGTGAACCCAATGACATTGGAGATGATGAAGAGATGCTTCTGCTACAAATGGCTGGATCTAACACTGAACCTGTCTCGCCTAATCTTAAAGCAGTCCTAGAGCAGGGTTCAGATATAAGTCGAACAGCTATCCAGAACCAACCTGCGGCATCACTTGTACAACGCCCACAGAGCTCTAGCATCGACCTGACGGCCTTCTCTTTTACCAGACCTACACAGCATGGAAAGACATTCACATTTCATCGACCAGTTAAGCAAGCTTCAGCCATTCCCCCACCTCGCAATATTAACATGATGCAAACGGAGCAAAATAGAACCAGGAAGCCCGATCGTACCATTCAAAACCACCAGTCAAAGTAAGGCAACTTTTCATTGGCTTGCATTCGTTTTGCTAAAGGGAATATTCAGAGACATTGCTTCTCGGTCGAATAATATGGAAAGCAACTCGAATCGCCAAACCACAACGGCCTCTTCTTCATCTCCGGGAGCTCCTGCTCAAGAGTTAGAGGCTATGGATAGTAAAATAGAACCTGCTGCTAGAATAGACAATGTCCTTACCTCCAATGTTCATCCGTCGGAACACAGTCAAGCACAATGTGAAGGAACCGCCCTTTTTCCGTCCGTTACAAATGGTCAACTTCTATCACCGGAAAATGAGCCACAAGGTACGTGTGCCAGTTATACTTGCCTGGCTATGCTGATATGATTCCAGCAATAAGATCAATTGCCCTCTTTAAGAGCAAGGTAGGCGGGCACCTACAATCTATGAATATATGTGGCACTGATCAAAACAAGATCAACGACAGATTTTCACAGTCGCCCAAACAGCGCGGGGCAAAGTTGACGAAGTCATGTATTACTGAGCGCCTAGCACACGAGGACGAGAGAAGTGTTTCACTGTCTCCTACGAATAACAAGTCAAGAGTTTCGAAGCATCGTCGAACGAGTGGAAAAAAGATCACCTCAAAACAGCCCGCCTTTGTGCTTGGTAACAGCAATGCAGCAGACCTGTCTGAGGAGGACCTAGTTCAACTCCTTTTTGCCAAGATGAAAGCCCGAGAAGACAATGACGCTGTGGCTTCCAGTGAGAAAGAACAAATGGAGGTCCATGTTTCACAGCTTATGCAAGATAATCTCGCCTTGAGAAGCCAACTCGACGTCCTCAGTAATGAGATACAGCAAAAGGCTTCGGAGTCCAGAGCGTACAAAACTCAAATAGAGGCTTGGAAGGCGAAAATAGCAAAGTTTAAATACATCCTTAACGAGCTGGGTTCTGGTTACAAAGCGCTTCGCGTGGAAACAACTCAGCTTAAACTGACAAGAGCATCACTAGATAAGGACAAAACGGAATTAAAAGGCACAATTGCTGATACAAGGGAGCAGCTGTTTCAAGCTTCTAGTAGTGTTGAGAAGAGTCAAAGTTATCTTGTCGAATCACAAACTTTTATCAATTCCATGAAGCAAGCTTTGAAGAACGCAGAGGAAAAGACAAGCTCTGATCAGGAGCGTTTATCCGACGAAAAGAAAAGATCGGCCTTGTTAGAGACGTATATACAAGACAACTCACGTCTTCAAGCAAAAAGGATAGGCCTGATCAGGGCTGACCAGCTCGAAATGCTTAAAAAGCTTGATTCTGGATTTGGAACTGTGACAAGGCAAGTTGATATATCTCAAGCATCTGTACAATCAATCATGAAACAAATACGAGAAGAGTCTCAGAAATCATTTATGTGCTTGGGCGAGAACCGTTCCCAAGAAAGGTTGGACATTGAGCAGTGTAACGCGACTGTTCAAGAGTGTTCATCTCAGTAAGTTACTTATGACTTGATGTATCTGAGGAAAAGTATGGTTAATCATCTTCAGAATTAAGTCCCTCACAGAAGAGTTGACAGCGGTCATCGACAAAAACTCTAAGACGAATGGAGATAGGACACAGCTTCTAACAGAGCAGCTCGAGTCTGTTCGGGAAAATGTGGGAACTGAATCTGCCTTACTCAAACGGCTCGCTGCAAATGAAGTTACATGCATCAGCCTATATGAGAGGCTCGAAGCTTGTGCACCAAGCATCGATAAGCTCCGTACTTTCTTGGAAAGTGCTCAGAAGAAAGAGAATAGCCTCGCTCAGCAACTGGAACATCTTGAAATCCGACTCCCTGAGTTGCAAACCACAGAAACAACCGAGCCTACAGCCGCAGAAATTAAAGAAAGGGCTGAACTTGAACTTAGGTTACAACGATTGTCAGACGAGCTGAGAATAACCGACGAAAGTCTCAGGAGCAGAGCGACTGAAAATGAAGAGATGAGGCTGTCATTGCTCGAAGCCGTTACGAAGGGCCAGGAAGCAGAAGCCCGGGCAAACAGGTTCGAATCAGAGACAATCGTACTACGAGACGAAGTGAAGGCCATAGAGTCCAAAATCCGCGAGGAGCTGAATAGAGCCAGCGTCATTTCTCGAGATCAACATAGAGTCAAGTATGAACAACAAATTCATGAATTGTTAAGAGAGAAGGGCGAAATGCGTAAGAGTGTTGAGAAAGTCCAGAATGAATTAACGGAGGCGCAAAAAGCACTAGTACGCCACGATGCTCGCCATTACCTGGATACTCGCTGACAATACAAAGGTTGAGAGTGAAAGAGCACATATGAAGAAGCAGAGTGAAACAGAATGTTTGGTGGGCGCATGGTTGCTCCCAACACAAAGCTTTTACTGATCCCCGAAGGTATTAGCAAAAGATGAACAGATAAAGGCCCTCGAAAGCAACTGTATGGAGAAAGAAATCTCACTTGCGGAGCAAACTGCGGAGGTCGACCGACTTCGGGAGAAGGAAGCATCGATCGCAACGCAGATGTCATGCATGCAAAGACAGCTCCATGAAGCTAACGAAAAATCTGTCGGCCTTGAAAGGGAGATCATTGTGGCCAAGGAAGAGGGCAGTGTATCCTCTAAGCTGTTACAAGACAAACTTGACATACTTCAGAAAAGCCTCCTATCGAAAGAAGAAGAGTGCACAAGAATCCAGAAGGAGCTCTCAGTGGAAACATCAGCCAGGTTAAGCCTCGAGGCTGGTAAGTCGAAGGCGAAATCCGAGATACACACTTTGCTTCGGCGAGTGCAAGATTCGGAACATTGGGTGAAAAAAATTAAAGAATCACTTGATCAGGTGGATACTATATCGCCAAAGGAACCCTTCTCTGAAACTTTGAACAGGCTGGTAGCGCTCCTACAGCCAGTGGGAGGGAAGAACAGCTCAGATGCTACTATATGGACTGAACCTACGGATGGGGGTACCTTTACTTGCCGCGATGCTAACGATGCCAAAAGTACATCCATAACGCCCCAGGGAAGTTGCGGGCCCTCGGAAAACGACGTTGTCCAAACTACAGAGTTTATCTATCGTACACAGAGTTTCCAGAGAAGCGTACATTCCTCTCCGGCGAATGAGGGTCTAAAAGCTAGGAGCGTCGGAGTGGCTGATGTGAAATTACCATGCATCCCGGACTCACAACAGTCGAACAGCATTGTACCATTCTCAAGCGTTCGACAACTATCCCCGGTATACTCAATATCCGACCAAATTCCGATTGACTTTGCAGCCATGCTAGTTTCGACAACGGACGAAAATATTGTTAACGAAAAGCCTGATGACCGAGTGTATCCAAATGGGGGCTGTCAAGTGGCAGCCAGCCCTGCTGAGAAACAGGATGTCACAAGAACGGAGGACACAAAAGTACAGTCGAGAGAAAGCACTCCATTGGAAAGCAAGGACCAACATCCTGGTGCTAGCCAGCCAGTTAGCCAGCTTCCTCACATCCCGGAAGAGGTGAAAAACTCCACGGTAACACCAAAAACAGTCTCATTTGAAGCGCACAGTCCATCGAGAAGCAGAGAAAAGCGTAAGGCTCCGGACTCTGAAAACTACCATAAGCAGAAGGATACATCGCAAATGCCGCTACCTGGCCGAACGCACCGAAGAACCTATAGTAGGAACCGGCAGACGCCTGAAGTGCGCAGCCAAGAGCAGTTCGCGCATCAGAATTACTTGTCTCCTTCAAATAGTAAAACCTTGGACCACGAGAGCGCTGAAAGACCAGACTCCGCCATCAAAAGAGCTAGGGTCCCAACCTCACCTCAACCAAGACGCCTGACAAGAGCTGATTCTAGGTGCTTTGAGCGCAAGACAAGTCCTACAAGTCTCGCGTCTGGTAGCAGTCGGCACTCTTCTATGAATGGCAACCGCCCCAATAATCAGAGGTGGCCAACACGTGGAGGAAGAAGAACAAGAGGTAAATATGTGTTCGAGTTATCAAGGTTAGTAAGATGCGCTAAGCTCAGTAGGTGATCGCTACAGCGCTCGGTTCAACAGACAAATGTGAAGTTTGTTTTGAAACCAGACATCTTTCTTCATTATCTATATAGGTTGTACGTGGTGTCGTTACTGAGTTGCTTGAGATAATGTGCGAGGGGTGAAAGATCTCGGTAGACAGGTGGTTGCAAAGATGGTCGGATCCTAGGAATGGTATATTGAACACATTGATTGACCCAGACTGTACTGCTTTAAACGCCAGAATGCAAACCCAAAGTGATATACAGCGCAACAATATCCCGGAGTATAACAAAGTTCCAAGTATTATCCGCACTGATGTTGTCTAATGTACATGATGTATCGTTCGAATAACGGACCGAGCGACAACCGCACAACTTGGTGGACGGTACCGAGTGAAGGTTGTCTCGTAACTATGCCGGCCGACACTGCCTCGAGACCAAAGCAGACATCGCTTGTACCTCAGCTGCGTATGTGCGGTTGATCGTTTGAAGGAATCGAGAGAACATGATTTATCTCGCTCTTCCGCCCTTTGTCGCTTCCAGGAACAGCACCTTCTTCTTCACGACGGGGTCATATTTGAGCATGCTCAGGGGACGATGGGTACGAGGTCTGATCATCGTCCGGTAAAAGCCAGTCATGGCCATGGAGATGAGACGAACGGCGACGGTACGAGACTTGGCTGTTTGTATCCATTGTCAGCTCCGCACAAAATTAGGAACTTCTATCGGCGTGCGCTGGTAGCGCATCAATTCCGTGACGTGATGACAATGATATATATGTGCTTACCTTTCTTGGCCATTTTGGCGGCTCGAGTGGAAAGGAACTGGAACGTTGGGGTGTTTGGCACCTGATTTCAAGAATTCGAGACCATCGGAGATGCGGCGGAGAACTTTGGATTCGCGATAGTTGCACGTGACCTCTGAAAGTGGTATAGTCGGGTATGTGGGTCTTGTTTGGCTTTCATTGTTCTGGAGCATTACCATTGCGACCTCTCCAGACTACAAAACGTCTTAGAGGTGGATTCCTTGATTTATTGTTTGTTACTACTCTCAACAGTCTGTTTCCTCTCGCTAAGTGACGATGGAGCTTAATCAAGGACTTTTCAGTTCAGGTCCATCTCGGGATTTCCACAGAGCCTGTGTACTCACTGTGGGTTTGCTCGAAGTTATTGGACCATTACTACGCCTTCGCGACATTAAATAATCTTTTATGTTTATTTCATCGTTTGGTTTTTTTCGGGGTCTGGATAGGGTTAATTATTTACAGCAAATCATAATCACGCGGAAAATTCGTTACCCTGCAAGACTGCGATTACGGGTGACTAGTACATACATACAGTCTTTCTTGCTATATCACCATATCCAAGAATAACCTGCTTAGACTAACTCTATCTCAAACAGAATTTGGCTCTATGAAAAATTCTCCAGCCGCCTGACCTGCAGATCACTAGTGGCTCCGCTGGGATGCTAGATATGTATAACCTACTGGGTCGATCGTCGATACAGGGCTACCCTACCAAGGATCATAGTACATCTATATATCTTATGAAAGCTTCATCTCCTCAATATGACCCATTATTCTCCTATAATTTCGTCTAATACTTCCTTCGCTCTTTCGTCGCAACTGACTTCTCACTCTTAGCACGTGTACTCCGCCCGCGTGTTCATGCCTTCAAATATCGAGCAGGAGGACAATATCATACCCATGAGTCAGTGTCCCATACTGGCGGGTCCTGTGTGGATACATACAACCTATACCTGGTGACCCCAGCATGGTGTATACTCAAAACGGCATGGAAAACCGTCCCATGATCAGTTGCGATCATCGAAAAGCGTTGTGGGCCGTGCTAGCGGATATACATACTTCGAGCTGCTTTAGTGCCGGCTTAATCCGCGGCGGGAACTACTCTCATGCATGTTAAGTGTCCGTGTGCTTCCCTAGAGTGGGTTATTTATGCACCTTTTCTATCCTATCCGGGGGGATTATGGGTTTTGGTAGCCCGTGTCATGTGGTCACATCTGAACGGGAGGGTTGAACCGAGACGATCTACGGGTTAGGAACTAATTGGTGTTCTTGTTTTTGGGGAAACCTTGTCGAGCGCGATCTGGTCGGGAATATTTTGTAGATTATCTGTTATTGTTGGAGGGGGGTTTGTTGTAGTCGTCGTTGTTCTTGTTGTGGATGGATATCATGATGGTCGCTTTTGTGGGCGGTTAGGTTTGCGGGATTGTCAGGCGACTTTGCATATTGTTGTTCAAGGTCTGGGGATGCACCGCCACAGCTTTGAATTACAGAGGTTTTGTGTCTGATTTATTTTCACTGATATATGAATAAATCGGTGTTAGGATGTTGATTCGGACAATGCATGTCATTTTAGTGCTGATCATTCAACATCATTCGTTTAATATAGTTCTCTGGATGGACGTGGAAGAAATAGACAGCCTCCGACACTATCGTGGAAGTCATAGTGGTCTAACTACTGCTGTTCATCATTGCGCTGGCCTAGCGATGGCCCAATTAGATTCTTTGTTATTCATGGGCCGATCCAGCCCAGAGCCATGATAGAACGAATATGATCATCGACACTAGAAGAATCCCGCCAACAGTACCACTGGTCAATGTCAATACATATCAGCCATTATGCCCTGCATTGTTCCCTCCGTCAAGAGAGTCTGCAATACAACTTAACGTCCATCACCCAATGCCCGGTATTAGAAATTAGTCGAGATGCATCGTGTATCTTCAAAAGCAAGAAAGTAGAAAGGTCATCAGGTGTCCAACACCATCCAACACACACTAATGTACAACTACCGACCTAGAGAACTTATCTTAGCACCATAGTTATTCCAGGGAAGCAACCTGCACATACCACCAGATCAACGAGGAAAGCTGTTACTCCGGCTTGGTGAGCAAAGCAGCAATGCGAGCGCTACGACGTCGCTTGAAGATGAACCCGTCAGGAGACTCTGGCGAGGTCTTCCGCTCACGTTTAAACAAAACAGGCTTCTCACCATCTGCCGTCTCGTCTGTCGCGTTGTTGGACCACGCTTCATGTTCCTCTGTAGCAGGATCGTTGGTCATCTCAATCTCTCCCGTCGGTTGGATACTGTTTGCTGCTCGTTAGAAAAAAAACAGGCCCCCGAGGACTCAATGCAGGAACTAACCACTCCCCATCGTCAGACCCACTGTATGCAGTCGCCTTCTCGGTCGCTATCTCGGACTCCCCCAGACGTTCTCGATCGTGGACCATCCCCGTCATCATCGACACAGGGCGATCCATGCCGACGCTTCCTTGCCATTTGGACACCTGCTCCTTCTTTTCAATAATCCCGATCCCCTGGAGCATGGACGCTTTGAGAGACGGTTCCTCTTCGCTGCTGTACTGTGCGTTTTCGCCGTGGGCACGGTTCTCTTCCTCGGGTGCCGCAGTGGGGAGATGAGCCTTGAGTAAGTAAGAAGTTGTGGACATAGGAGAGGACTGGTCGACTGCCTCTGAGCCGATTGGTCGGTGGATGGTGGGGGTGAAGGGTGAGTAGGACGTTCGGAAGCGTGTTTCGAGATCTCTTTCGATGTCGGTGTAGTTCACCAGGACGTCTAGCTCGTTGTGTAGCTCGTCGGGCTCAAATCTGCCTGCCATCTTCTCTGGATGATACAGGATATCTAGGGAATGAGATGGGGTGTTCTTTGTATGCTTGGGGGTGATGTTGAGAGACGGGGTCAACGGGGAGTTGGGGCTTTCTTCTGGAGAAGACTGCTTTCAACGCATCACTGTAGACAGAAGATACAGAGGAAGGACGCTAGATCGTGACTTCAACAGAGGAAGAGATGTGACAGGAGATAGGTGGAGAGTCTGTTTCGTTGATAGAATGTCAGGCAAGTCTGGTATAGAACGCGTTGGAGATTAGTGGTGAATTGAGCTCGAGTGAGTTCCACCAGGAACAAGAGCTCAGCACAGCAACAGACGAGATTCTACGTAGAGGAACAAATCAGGTTAATCCAAATGAGGGAAACGGTCTGGAACTTCCTGACATGGTAGGGCGGTAATCTTCTCCTCGGGCTTACCCACGGATGCAGTGAATGGGAGACGACGCTCGTTCCACTGGTTTTGTTCCTTGGAAACTCAATCAGTCGAAAGATATCAAAGCTTGACTCAAGATATACAAGACCCCTCGGCGTTCCTGGTCCTGGGGTTTTGTAGGTCAGCTTTGCGGGAACTTTCTCATCTTTACACAGAGTAGCAGTAGGTTCAAACAAAGAAGAACCGTTGTAACCTACGTTTATCTTGTAACACTCAAGGGCATTTGTTGTGTTCTAACTAAGTATCATGATGGCAAATGCACGTTCTGGAAGATGGTCTAGACCTGCAGAAGTATTCAACTCATCATACGGCTATCCCCCGAATGAAAAAAGCATGCGTCTAGTTCCAAGTTATCAGTCTCCTTGCTCGATCAAAATTCCATCCTATCTATATGCCTTCTATCTGATTTTCTTTGAATACTTATGACACTGGAACTCCCAACTATAGAATGTAAAGACAAATATTACCACCAAATCAAGGTTGTCGTTGGATTAGTTCTCACCCAATTTATGCTCCATATGGGAAAGTTGTTGTGGGAATCACTGTCCCTAATCTATGATTCTAGTCTTATTCGTTCATACTCTGGCTTTCTTCCTGATGTAGTGGTTATAATTTAATTTATTTCCAATATTCTATATGAATCATTTGGAAGTATAGAATCAGTGTCCTGCACAGCCACAGCCCACTTGATTTACAGGCGGTCTTTACTTGCTGGGATCAGTATTGGTTAACATAACGTGCAGGATGCATTAGGTTGGAGATACACTACAAGGGAACAGCATTAAAAGATGCTATTAAGGTGGGGTTGTAACTTGTATACATGTATTGCTACTAGTAATTACCAGTGACTCACTCACTGATCGGTAGAAATCTTATGAAATCATGTTGTTTAGATGTGGTTTATCCCTTACTCTGTACCATAGGTCTACTGTATAGTTTACATACGAAGGTCATTCTGTTAAAAAAAAAAATTTTCTTTTTTGTTTTTTTTGGATGTTTTCTCCACAATATTCATCAATACATACATCGAGTCATAAAGTCATAGTAAACATAGGAAAAGGGTCACCCAATGAATGTTATGCAATGTTGAGGGTGTGCGGAGAAGTACAACTAGTAAACTCCATCCAATCTCATAGGCTGAAGCCTACAGTTCGCAGAAAGTAAAAGCTCATGACTCACTCCTTGCATGCATACATTCTTCCAATCACATCAACTGAAATGTCCAACAAACTAAACTTGCAACTTTGTTGTAAACACCACCTTTTTTTCTTCACTTTCTCGGATTTTTCCCGTTTGTTTTGGGGTTTTGGAAAGCTGTCCTTTCGGACAGTGTAGAGGTAATGCCTTCAAATTAAGATGGCTAGTTCACATAGGAAACCATTCTTTGCGAGGGAAAACCCACTGAAGACGCCAATCGGCGCGAACATCCGTACCGGTTTAGACTGTGGTCGGATGGGCACATTGTGCGTGTTATGGATTCGCGCATGAGCTGGGCCCTGCCCGGCTGAATCGTGCGTGTGTGTGTGTGTGTGTGCAAAGATGACAGAGATCCAATAGCACTGCCTGCAGCACGGCTATATAGTGGTCCGTAGAGGTAGTAGAGTGTAAGATAAACCAGAAACTCAACAGGCGGGAGCGCTCAACGGTGGTATTCAGTGGGTCTGTAGATCCGTGAAGACTCCCTGAAGCGTCTGCGCTCCGCTGCATCAGACTCGTACAGCGAGCCTCGGCTGGGGGAGCTCCGGCTGGGGGAGCTCCGGCTAGGGGAGCTACGAGGAGAAGAGTAGACAATGACCCGACGACGCATTGCGTCACGGGGCTCGCGCTCAATGATCTCAGTGTATGAAACGGGCTGCTGTTGTGGGCTTGTCGATCGACGAGGAGGAACAGGGTAGTTCCGGTCGTAGGTGATGATAGGTGACGGTGACCGAGGGGGTTGGACAGCACCCCGTTCTTTGCGGCTCAGGCGCAGGCCATCTTCAATGGCGAGGAGCAATGCGCGGACAGCGCGGCAGTCGCGGGGGATCTTGACGAGAGTAGGCTGGTTGCGCTCACGGTCGAGGGTCGAAAACGACTTTCCGTTCTTGCTGTACAGGTAGTCGGCGACGTCGACGGCGTATTGGTGTCCACGCTCACAGAGAGAGCGGTCTTCTTTGCGCGCTCCGAGCGGATCTGCGCATCGAGTACAGTGGCTTGCATGGCGCTCAAAGGCGACCATCACGTACTCTTCGTCAGCCTCGAGCTCGCGCACGGGCAAGACGGGATCGACGACATCGATTGGGGCAGGCATGGTGGAAGAACGTCGCAATGACCGTCTTCTACCAGGAGTTGGCTGATGGACAACCGTATCTCGTATGGGGAAGAGTCGAGGTAATGTGAGGAAACGAGAAGATCTTCGGGGAGACACGGTGACGGAGTTTGACGGTATAGTTGTGAGACTGGATGGGAGTGATAGCAGAGGACACAGAAGATCGAGGTGGTTTGGAAACAGAAGGGTTTATATTCTGTTCAGGAATAGGCAGCAAGAATTATACTAGAAGAATGTGTAGATATAAAAGTGGATAAAAGGATCATCAACCATGGGGGGTGAGCAAGATTATATACTAAAGACTTGAAGGAGGCATCCATGTTCCCAAGCATACAATCTAAACTATTACAGTAGTCAGGATGGGTCTGCGCTATGACCGCACTGGTCACAAGAAGACTAGGGTGAACGATCAAAATAAAATAAAAATAAAAAATAGTAATCCGTTATACCATGAAATTCAATACAATACGAAACTAAATCACAGTGTGGATGGTAGCCTGGCAGATGATGTGCAAGAAAGTTGTTCTGAATTTCTTCAGTGATACAGTAACTTAGGGTCCGAAGGGCGGGTGACTCGACGCTAACCTTGAACGAGGCACGAGAGTGGTTCCTAAGGCTCAAACAAGGCGCTCTCACTGGCGGGGGACCTGTGGCTGGTGCGTGCAGGCAGTGCTTTTCCCTCCATGACCATACCGGTTGATCGCGAGGATTGCAGAGGATCTAGGCCATCTGATTGGATTGTCCGTCTGAACAAGTCGGTCAATTCTCCTTTTCACCCGCATTTGCCTGGCTCCACCCCATTACCACTAGTACAACTATGGTTAGGTGCTTGTCCAGTTCCCCTCCAAACAACCCGTCGCTTACCCAATTGAGCTGTCGGGGACACTTCAAGTCGAGTCGAGTCATCATTGCTTGTCTTTCAGAGCCACGATGACGGAGGTACTAGTACTGAGTAGTCTCGGACGCCTTCTTGACAAGGATCATTTGTGGCTTTAGTGGCTTGACCTTCTCGTGTTCCCTCCTCTGCCTGCGCCGCACTCACGACGTCAATTTCCCCCAACTGACACCACCATCATTTCCTTCCGTATTACTCTTCTGTAATACCGAAAGAGTTCGCTGCGTTACCACCCCTGGAGATGCAGCCCTGAGCCATTGCATATTTTCTGCATCTGCATACCATTAACTTTATCATATTCGTTGGCTGATACTGCTCTTCTACTCCGTGGGGTAAGCATCAGCAACCGCCGAACTGTCCCTCTACGCTCATTTGCTTCGCAGCCGCTGACCACAATCGCGGATTTTTTCTGAGACAGTAGATCGTTTGGAACCATTCTGTTGGTAACCTACAATATCATGGAACTCGATTCCTTGTACCTCATCCCGTCTATTTTGGTCGCGTCGTTTCTGTTCTAAGAATAAGTTGGGACTTACCGTCCTAACACGAACGATGGATGTGATCACCGGCTGATAAGGGGTCGCTAGACCTGTTCAGGGGTCGCGCCATCTCAGCCTTAGTCTTCCAAACAGATACCTTGGAATATGGCTCAGCCTCAGCCACAGATGCCACTGGCTATTGTTGTTTCGTTTCGTCTCCCACCATTCCGGCTAAGCGCCATATTGGGCCGCACGCAATGTCAGATGCTCACCGTGCAGTGGTAACCTCCCGAAAATGAATGCACTTGTTCACTTCTACTGATCAGCAAAGGGCCAAGGTTACAAAATAGAATTTCAATTTGACGCGCGCAATGACGTCTGGGCTGTTGAGTTCGTTTCACCCTATTAATCTAGGGTCGCACCTATGCGGCGACAGTTTGGTGGTCCACGATCCCCAGTACTTGTCGCGCTGACCAAAATAGGATATATCGCGACATACAATTACACCATTGAATTCTGCCTTGGCTAGCATCTCGAGAGCCATGAGAGCCTTATGACACAGATGACCAGCGGCACGAGCGCGTAACCCGTGCTTCCTTGGAAGGAGGGGTCGAATGCTGAGGATGAGCACTGCTGCCTGTCACAATGTGACCACTGTGTCCAGTAATGGCATTGACCTGCCTGGCCGACCAGGGGTAAGTCACGATCACACCAATCGCATCTTCCTTTAAGAACGTCAATGTTGGATGCAAGGCCTAGCTCTCTGAAAGCTCCAACGCCCTATTTTACCCTTTGCCACTCCTTGGGTGAACCGCTACAGCCGGCATCGGCTCCAAGCCGGTGGAGAGGCATGGGCCACTGACAGTCTACTCCATCTATACACAGGACAGAACAGCAGCACCTTCTATTGCGATATAATTCAAACTACTTCACTGCTTCAACAACTGAAGCCGGGCTAGCTCAATCGGTAGAGCGTGAGACTCTTAGTCTTCACGGTATCTCAAGGTTGCGGGTTCGACCCCCGCGTTCGGCTTAGCTTTTTGCTCTTGCGAAGAGTGCGCTTTGAAAAGTTTTTTGTGGTTCACATCGGACGGGTGACTCTTGCCACGCAGGCTCCACTTCGGATAGGATCCACATGCGGCTACAACAGCCTAGGCTGCTGTATAGACAGGCCGCCTTAATCGCATGAGCCTGTAATTCAGGCAAAATATGCTTTTGTAGTACATTTACCTGGCTGTGGTAGCGGTTCATCAAGGATTGCCTCGTCAATCCCTTGTAATGTGGGCGTGATATGACGCGACCTGTTCTATCGCAAGAACTTGTATCCAAGATATATTCCGTAACAGTCAACACTGCATCTACCATCATTGTGCCATGAACAGCAACTTAAGTAGCTTCCGCAGGCTTTACATGGAATGGAATAAATACACCAAGCTTAATGACACTCTCACAATCCAGCTGGGCCTCAACTAGAGACTAGTTGCATAACAAGTAACAAAACAAGCCATGGAACTTATCAAACGCCTAATGCGCTACAATTGTCTGTCCTATTATCACTAAGAACAACAACCACGTAAACCTAATAAACCACCCACTTGATAGAAACTAACGCCAGTACAAACCGCCTGCCCAAGTAACAAAAAAGATTAAGGCATGTTCTAGCCAAAGCCAGGTAGAAGCAACTGTCGCCAACCAGACAGCATTACCCGAGTCATCGGTGATATTTCGGTGGATCCAGTCCAGTGTTTCCAGCAGAAGTATCAGGATAATACAGAGCACTGATTCGAGGACAGGCTATCATTTGATCAGTGTCAGACACACTCTTGTGTATGAATGTTGGGGAAACCAAACTATTTAAGCTTTGACAAAGAAGTCTGACGGAGTAGGCTTCAGTTGCGTACAGGGGCTCTTATTTGGTTTATTTATGTTAGTGCTTCAGAGGTCCATTTGTATAGTTAGAGCGAGACATCTGAACGTACATTTAGGGGCGCATATGTTGTGCATGTCACAGGGACAGCTCTCTGGGCAGTCATTGTGTCCGGTACAGATGTTGTGACATCTATTGAGGACTCTGAACTCCTTGGGGGTAGCAGAGCTCTTATCCCGGGTGATAGCTACTGCGTTGGTCATGCTGAGAAGGGCAGCGACGGTAAGGATTCTGAACAGATTCATAGTGTCGAGACCGATGTTCTTGATTAGTTGTTGATAGTCTTCCAATGTTTGGCAATGCGAGAGTATTGTGAGAAGTTATAAATTTGAGAAGGGAGGGGAAAGGTATTTATATTGGACAAATCTTCTAAAGCAAAGTTAATAAACACTCTACATATACTTTTTCAGTCTAGCCTTTGTACTTTTGGACGATAAGTTAATTTGAAGGTTAATTACTCCGAAAGACATGCAGATCAAACTCTCTTTTGTTTGTGAATTGCGTTCTTCTAATGCATGCATCTGCAAGCGGTACCTGACTACCCCAGATTTCGATGAATAGTACTGCGATCACCACAAAGAGAATCGCCGTGGATATTCACCCAAAATCCTTGTATGCACTCAAAAAAACTTTTGATCTGTTGAACCGAGCTCTAGCCAAACCGTAGTGCTCTACCTGCTGAATGAGGGCTTGATGATTGCTCACAAAGACAATCCGACAAACTATCAAAGCCTCCGAACCTTAAACTAGGAATCCCTGTCTTGTGAGGTGGGCTAACGGCGGAATGATTCCCACTGGTTGCACCTTAACGGGGTATGTTCAATAAAACAATTAGTTCACGCAATGAATCGGTCTATCCTGGTTATGTGTTAGTGGGGAATATTGTCCATTCTCATGCTCGGAAGGTGAAGTTTGTCAATGCATGATGGAATAGTCGTTAGTAGAATTGGTCCGGTGGAATTAGCTGCTAGACAACTACACCATGTAGTGACATGACAAGAATAATGTGGTGAATGATAAGAATGTACAAGTACCCAAAACAAAACAAGATCTATGTAAAGAATTATTATTCATAGATATTTGAATATTGGGCGATCTTTGTCCTCCCTAACTAATTTGTGCTGGAGATCTGGAGTATGGCAGAAGTTCGAATACTAATACCAGCATTGGCATTAGTATGAATAATAGCATGCAACCCACCATGAGCTTATGCGATAGATCATATGTGACCGGTGCAACCGGTTGTCCAACCGCAATTGATAATCTACTATCGGCTGTCGCGTGTTTCCCGAGATTTGTTCTTATCTCGTCTATTCCACCAACAGATACTGGCAGCTTGCCGAGTCGTTCATCACCACTGGACCCTTTGCCGAGCTGCCAATCGCCAAGGTTGCCGACGCTGTGGGGACTCTGGGGGGACGTCTCGGTTCTCGACGCTTCTCCCCGCCTTTCTCTTCCTACGTACTCCTGATCTACAATCCTGCATGTCATTCATAAATAAGAAGTGCCCGCATTTAACCCCGCACATGCTCTCACAATGTGACTTCCGTCTTCATCCTGCTCTTTCCTCCCGTCCTCAGTTGATCCTCTCCCATAACCATGCAATTAACAGGTGAGAAAGGTGGCCTAAAGGCCATTATCGAGAAGTATCGGCCAGACCTGAAGCCATATGAAGAGATCTATCGCCAGTTACACAGCTCTCCCGAACTAGCCTTCCAAGAAGAGAACACATCAGCCATCGCCGCAGATCATCTCAAAATCCTGGGCTTTGAGGTTCACACACACATTGGTGGATATGGAGTTGCCGGGGTCCTTCATAATGGCGATGGGCCAACTGTTCTCCTGCGAGCCGACATGGATGCGCTGCCTCTAGAGGAAAAGACTGGTCTGCCGTACGCCAGCGACAAAATTGTCAAAGACAAAGACGGAGTAGAAAGACCATCAATGCATGCTTGTGGTCACGATACACACGTAACGAGTCTCATGGCGAGTGCTGAGCTTTTAAATTCCGCTCGGGATCACTGGTCTGGTACCTTGATCTGCATTTTCCAACCAGCAGAGGAGATACTGTCCGGCGCAAAGGCGATGATCGAAGATGGGTTGTACGAGAAGATCCCCAAGCCAGACGTTGTCCTGTCGCAGCACGTCATGAAAATGAAATCGGGCACAGTCAGTATTCGTTCGGGTCGGCTGCTCACGGCTGCTGATTCGTTCGATGTGCGCATCTATGGGCGCGGTGGACACGGCTCGGCTCCTCAGACGTGCGTCGATCCCATCGTTATCGGTGCAACGATTGTAACGCGCCTGCAAACTATCGTCAGCCGCGAAGTGATGCCCGGTGAACTGGCTGTTGTTAGTGTTGGAAGCATCCAAGCCGGCCATGTAGCGAACATTATCCCCGATCAGCTGGACCTGAAGCTTAACGTTCGGACATACGACCCTAAGGTCCGCGAGCGTGTTATATCCTCCGTGAAGAGAATCATCGAGGCGGAATGTCTAGCAGGAGGTGTGGACGAGAAACCTCTTGTTAAGCAGATACTTTCTGCTCCCGCAACTATCAATGACGAGGCCACGGTCAAGGCTCTTCGAAGTACATTTGGATCATATTTCGGAGAAAGCCTGGTTGAATCAGAACCAGCCACTGCAAGTGAAGACTTCTCTCTTCTTGCGACGGCGGTCGGAGCACCGTATGTCATGTGGACGTATGGTGGAGTCGACCCTAAGACGTGGGATGATGCCGTGGAGCAGGGTACCACTGATCAGCTACCTAACAATCACTCCCCGTTCTTTGCTCCAGTGATCCAACCGACTCTTGGTACTGCAATTGATGGAATCGCCCTTGGTGCACTGACTTTCCTGAAGCGGACTTAAAGTATGGCAACCCCACACCGAAAGCGAGTCAATGCGAATTGTATCGTTGCTGCGGCTGTCATTTCTACATCTGAGCACTTTTTTCTATTCTCCTGTACATAGTCTGTCGTGATATGGGACCAACTCGGTGAATATGAATCCTAAAACACAGTATTCCAAAGATGTTCCGAGACATTAATAGCAACCATTAAAGCATCGGATCTTCCTGCAAGGAGTTTCTCCAACGCTCTACCGGCATCGTTGGATTCATAAGTGTTATCGAGAACAACATGCACTTTCTTGCACCGACCGGAAGGGATATTATACTAAATAACCACTAGTTATACTATTAGGACTGACTAACTGTTCTTTTCCAGGAGCTCCCAATAAAAGCTCCTGCAGTCACAATGACTTCGGCGTGCAATCAAAAAGAGGAGATCATACGCATGACCGAGGGGTTGTCGCAATTTTGATGGTCCTATCCTAATAAGATGCGAAAGGATGACCACTGCGCCGGTCTCCGAAGCAATTAATGATTCTTTGTTATATTGTTGCAAAGCGGGGCTTTTGCTGTCTGCTGCCGCATTTTAAGTTCTTGCAAGGATCGGAGATGAATAAGCTCCTTAGTACGCATGCATAAGTTTAGAGTTTATAACTCACTTTGGCAGTGATGGTTCCCCGCCAACAAAATTGTACCAAATAGCATTCTTCCCGCTAGTCCCTTATGAAGGATGACGAGACGAAACACACCTCACTTGCTAGTATATATTGGCAAACAGCCAGTGTTTAGTGCTGCAAGACCCGAGTACTACCTAGGATCCGGGATCCGGGTAGCAAATGCGAATATCCCGCAGTCCGCTCTCCTAGTCCCATGTGGCCGCTTCCACTATGCGGTAGTTGCACAAGGAATCAATACGTGCGACTCGAGATACCATATAATATCCATTGGATAAGCTTCAAGCACATATGAGCGGCGAAGCTCACGAGATATGAATGTGGTGCTCGATGATAAGCTTACAGGAGACGCTTGACACGCTGTCAGCGATAACAAGGAGTATCGCTGCTTGCAAAGCGACCGTTCCAGCCTCCCTCCAGAGTAAGATCGACAAACAACGTACAGATAGTCGCAATTTGCCAAGACGAGTTAAGAAATTGGGAGCGCCAGAAAGATTGCCTCTTGCAGTCTCCACTTGCAACAACACATCGGCCAAAAGGGGGATAGCGTGTCCCATGACATCATGCCCTTGGATTGATCAATGAGATGCTTCTCCCCCTGCAGTCTTTCCAGTCCGAAGTTGCAATTCTCAGTTGCTCATTGCCAATGCCCAATCAATCGTTCTTGGGGCTTTGCTGTTTGAGTGCTACTCTGGGTCCAGTTCGTACCTAGCCGAACCCATTATCCTCGGATCACATCCATCGTTGCCCGTTCAATCCCCCTTACCTGCCACATACTACTAGCACCCAGTGGCAGTGTTGGGCGCTATTTATTATTACGCTATCGCTGGTTCAATTCTAGAGCCCATCCGGTTTTTCTCATGGACTATGCTTTGTTTCCATCACTATACATTCCATAGAAAAACCACCACCAGTGCAGGATGCCCTTGAACACGGTCGCACTCGGTGTGGCCCTCACCCCTGCTGTGATCTCGACATTCATCTCTCATGTGGGTCGTCGTCTACACTGGGCTTCATTCGAGCTCGTCTTCTTTCCTCGCTAGGGATGAACCAGCTAACAATGTCTTTCTTTCTAGTATTTGCACCGTAAATCACTCCATCATAAACCAAGCATTCATATCGGATACGATGAAGGTATTCACATATTCCGCGAGTTCCTCGCTTTCTCGGCCAAGCACTCCGTCGAGGACCTTCAATCCTTCACGAGCCAGAAAGTCCCCAGTCCTCACTGGGTGAGGACAGAGACGGTTACCATACCCACTCAATATCTGTCATCTGCGGCAACGGCCCTGATCGACCAATTGGGCCCCAAGGGGTTATCCCAGGTTGGAGGGAAAGAGTGGTGGCAATGGCGCGGACCAGTAGATGAATTAAAAGGCGAGTGGGTCGAAATGAGAAATGATTACAATGAAAGAATGCAGGCCAGAAAGATTCACGGAACCCATCCGAGCCAGAAACGTATTATGTTCTACGTACACGGTGGAGCATATTATTTTGGAAGTTTAGAAACGCATCGGTACCAGATGCAGCGTCATGCCAGGAAACTTAAGGGACGAGTGTTTGCACGGTAGGTTCTGGCTATTCTGGTTCTGTTGCGATCATGCTAATCCCAGTCTAGTGAGTTTAATGACTCCATCTTGGAGATCTGTTTATTGGAAGAGCGCTAAGTACATTTGTTGCAGCGGCATATCGTCTAGCTCCACAGTTCCCATTTCCTTGCGCTCTGCATGATTGCTTGGCTGCCTATCTTTTCCTTCTGAAGGAACACAAGCCCGAAGAGATCATATTTGCTGGAGACTCTGCCGGCGGGGGAATGGCGCTCGCGTAAGTTGAGCGCACACGGAAAAAAGCTTGGATAGCTAACCTTGAAGAAGGCTGCTATGTATTCTTCGTGATCAAGGCCTGCCTTTGCCTGCAGGAGCGATCTTGATTTCACCCTGGGTTGATCTCACCCATTCTTTTCCTAGTATAGTGAAGGATAACCCCGGTGACTACATACCGCCATACGGTTTCAAGCATAAGCCTTCTGCCGCCTGGCCGCCACCAAACTCGGATGAAATAGATGCCATCAAGAAAGGCCTCGGGAAACAGCCTGCTACCGAAAATAGCACGAAAGAGGCCATACCACCCAACGGCAGTGAGGCTCAGGAGACAGCTGTCAAGGGTTATTCGGTTCACGAAAACCCATCAGTCAAAGAATCTATGAATGCAACGGATGAGCCTGGTAACCCTAGGGTTCTCATTGATGGTAAGACCGTTGAAATTAAGGATCAAATCCAGATGTATACAACCAACCAACTCATATTTCACCCACTCGTTTCTCCTGTTCTACAACCGTCCCTGGGAGGTCTACCTCCCTTGCAGATTCTAAGCGGTGGTGGAGAAAAGCTACGAGATGAGCAGTTCTACGTTGCTCATAAAGCAGCAAATCCGACTGCTTATCCGCCCAATGATGCTTTCCTGGACGAGTACGACCCCGAACGTGAAACGCTACACAAATACCCCGGGACCCACGTTCAACTTCAAGTTTGGGATGATCTTTGTCATGTTCCGACTACTTTGAGCTTCACTCGCCCGGCGAAATATATGTTTCGCTCAATTGCACAGTTCGGAGCATGGGCTCTCGCATGTGCTCAAGAAACAGAGATTGATATTGTGGACGACATTGACATCTCACCTATATCGTCTGATAGCTCGGAAGACCCAGACACACCCGCCAATGGGCCCCAAGCAAAGAGTTCGAAGCAGTCCGTGGCATCTGTCGGGAAGGCTGGCGATCGGTTGCCTCCATTCAAAGAGCGCATGATTCGTCAAAGGGTCGACAAAAGAGGTCATATATATCATTTAGAACCCCAAGCTTCATGTCCTGTCCTTCAAATCCCAAGCTCACAAGTTGGGGCCATCAATCCTGAACTGGTCAAGAATTGGCTTGCGGAAAAAAATGAATGGGATGTAAAGTACGCCAAGGACAAGCTTCATGTCCAGCGCCAACGGGTCAAAGAGTTGGCTCAGTGCTTCCAACAAGATTTTGTGGGCGAGGTGCCCCCTCCAAGTTCACTGGCGGCGAGAAGGTCCGCTCCTGGAGTCATGCCATCTCGAGGTGACCGGAAGAGCTACCCTATGACCATGTGGAGCAATTGGGCCAGCAGGCATGACGAGAAGAGTATCCAACGGGAGCACAAGAAGGAGAAAGAGGGACAATCCAAGAAAACAGCGTGGAGGCTGGACGTGCCGGAGCTTGCATGAAAGCAACGGAGGTTGATAAAGGTGCTTCTCCGTATCAAGAACAGGTTAGTCATGCCTACCAGATTGCCATTACTGTCGATGCTAACGAACATATTCAGGATACATCAGATGGGACAAAGAGCTCAGCAACCCGGACAGAGGAAGATGTCTCGCACAGGCTTATCGATAAGAGTTCGGGCCCTATGATACTCCTGCCCCCATATGATGAGAAGAAGTTTACGGAGGAAAATGCGAGCACGCAAGCACTTTTCCACGCACGAGGAACTATAACATCGACTTCGGACCTATCCATGGCCCGAAAGCAACGACCGGTGTCCCAAGCCGGGTCAGGTACAATTCGAAGCGGCATCACATCACACATTGCAGATGATACCAGTACTCTGGGAGACAGATCACTCGCCGTTACCAACGCCGGCGTCGATGCCGCTAGTACTCGAGCAGTACGGAATTCGGTCGGAGTCGTGGGCCTGATCAATGATGGCGACTCGACCTATCACTCTATTGATTTCCACTCTATACCGCGCGACTCGGGTGACCTTGACACCGCTTCTCTTGGTGGGAGGACGACAGAAGGAGACCTCTCTCGCACCGCTTCTCGCCCCGTTTCTCGCCCGGGAATGGCTGACCGAGAATTTTATAAAACTGCACAGGAGCACCCTGTGGCTAGAGATACATAAAGAAAACAGCAAAACGAAGCTTTGCATATAGGACCTCTGGACATATATGATTCGATTATGCTTGTTTTGGTTATTATGTTGATTCATTTGACCCTTCAAGATACACTTATTGCCAAGGTGATGTAAACGATTATACCTTTTATACGAACGCCCGTCGCTTTTGTTTTCATATATGTGGGAGTCTGGTTGGCCCTTGGAATATACTCTTTCTATTCATACATCCCTTTCCCAATACCCTGGTTCCAAGCCCCTTTATCCTTGTGTTATATATGATATATTGTTTTCTTGAGATAGCTACAATACAGTCCTTGCGCATGTTGAACACTCACATCCATCAAGGCCTGAGCCGGGTATATAGATTCTTAATATAGTACAAAGCCTCGACCACCCCAAGGATTTTAATTATCCCAATCACCATTCAATCCCAACCTTCCCTGCGACCTTCTCCGCAACATCTAGGAAGGCCTTTCTTCTCACGCTCCGGTCCTGACTCTCCTCCGCAACAACCGTCGGCATGCCCCGATCGGCATCCTCGCAGACCCTTGCATCAAGCGGAATATCTCCCAGGAACTCCACCCCTAACCTCTTGCACTCGGCCACAACACCCCAGTCCTCTGCTTGGTGAGAGTGCTCCGACGCATCAGACTTATCACCATGCGAAAAGATCTTCGTCTGATGCCCGCACTGCGGACATGCGAAGAACGCCATATTCCTCACCATGCCCAGAACAGGGATATCCATCTTCTGAAACATCCCGTATCCCCTCACCGCATCTCGTAGAGCAATATCCTGCGGCGTGGACACGATCACCGCGCCGTCAACGATGATCTCCTGGCCAATCGTTAATTGCACATCGCCCGTACCGGGGGGAAGATCGAGGAAGAGGACGTCGAGAGGACCCCAGGAGACGGAGTGGAGGAGCTGATGCATTGCTTTCGTGACCATTAACCCGCGCCAGGAGATGGGGGTTGTGTCCATGGGGATTGTGGAGGGGTCTTCGGGGGAAGGTGTCGGTTGCGGGAGGAGGTAGCCCATTGACATTGATTTGAGGCCGTAGTTTGTTAATGGGAGGAGACAGTTATCTGTGTTTCGGGTGGATTGTCAGTATGGCTTTTGTTGGGTTGGGAATGCGATGCGCACTTTCGTCTAGTCGGGGCTCGCCTGAGAGGTTGAGCAGTGTTGGTATGGATGGGCCGAAGATGTCGGTGTCGAGGATTCCTGTTCTGATTCCGCGCCGTGCGAACGAGAGTGCTAGGTTTACTGTCGTGTTGTGACTGAATTAGTGTGTTGGGTCCGTGTATACTTCCGATATATCAAGAGGTGGTAGGCCATGAGATGACCTATATTGAATGGAGTACAGATCCAATGGGTAAGTATATAACGCACCGGCAATCGTAGATTTCCCAACTCCACCCTTAGCAGATGAAACCGCGATGATCTTTTTCACATCGCGAATCTTGCGCTTCTCCGGTAATCCGCGGCGACGAGGGAACGAGGGCGGCGTGCCGGAGCGAGGAAGGCCCTGTACAACAAGTCATTAGTATCTAACCCGAATGGATCTAGGATGCATGAATATACCAGCGGGTTATCATGCTGCAAGGGACGAAAGGTTGAGAAGAGCCTCTTCCGCAACATGGCTGAATGCATCATTGTAAACCTTTATCAAGCTCGAGAAGTCAACTTTGTTTCTGCCAATAAACTCACACCGATGTCATTCATATTGCCGGGAATAAACCCCCACCGCCGGAGTAACCTGCCCGCTAAGAGAGCTCCGCAAGCTATTCGGGGATGTTAATCCGTGACCGCCTGCTAACTTTTCTACGGCAGAAAAATAAAAGTTGCTAAAAAAAATTATCCGCAAACAATATTTATACCGGCACACGCAGGTATATTCAAAATGGGTCCCAAGTCTTTGGCGGAGCAAATTGCTGAATTGGAGGATCCGACTCCGAAAGGTGGGGGAATTCTGGTACTGTGTTCTGTGGCATTGCGACGCTAACCGTTTTTCTTCTTGCGACAGATTTCGATCCGGAGGATTTGGAGCGCGGTGGCTCTGATAGTGAGGATGAAGGTGGTCGCGCGGCCGATTCGAGTGCTGGGAGGGAACATTATCAGGCTGTTGGGTGAGTTTGGGTGTATTCTGTTTCTGTGTTTTGAGTGCTAATTGAGTATAGCAAGGCGAAGCTTCGGAAACAGGACCCGGTTGATCTGGGGAAACAATATGCCGGTGCACGGGTTAGCAGAGATGCACTAGATGCTGATAGTGATGACGATCCATTCAAGGCACGGTCTAGCGATGAGGAGGGTAGCGAGAACGAGGACGAGGACGATCTTGAGCTAGGAAGCGACGAGGACGAGGACATGTCGGAAGGGAGCGATGAGGAGCGGCCGCAAAAATCGAAAGCAGGTCAAAAGAAGGGCCATGACGCAAGGATTGTCGATGATATGAGATCGGATGACTCCGAGGACATTGGTAGCGACGAGGATTCGGAAGATTTTGACGAGGATGACATGGACGACGAGATCCCCTCCGACGAGGACGAAGACGAGGATGAAGATGACCAGGATGATGACGAAGAGGATGACGATGAGGAGGAGGAATCTTCCGCTCGTCGTGTGAAGTTCGCAAAACCCGCAAAATCAGATGATCGGGAAGAGCTGCGCAGACTGATGGCTTCTGATCAGAAGACCATCACGGCCACCATATCACAAGCTGCTAAAGCCGATGCAGTCAAAGGAAAGGCAGTTAAGCAGCAACGTACCGCTTTCGATGCGCTCTTGAACACCCGCATCAAGTTGCAGAAGGGTCTTACCGCGATCAACCAGCTGTCCGTCGCAGCCAAAGAAGAGGAGGATCTCGATGGTGAAGCTATCAAGTCTGCCGAGTCCGCCGCTTTAGCTCTCTGGTCCACTCTCGAAGACCTGCGTCTTGCCCTCGCAGACGCACAGACTCAAGACGAATCGAAGAAGAGGAAGCGACCTTCCGCTGTCTCCCCAAGTACATCTACCGCTTCATTGTGGAAGCGCATGGCGGATCTTGAGTCCGACTCTGTTGCCCACCGCCGAGCCATTCTTGATAAGTGGTCGCTCAAGGTGCGCGGGTCTAACGCTACGGTTCCTAACAGCCGTGGAAAACTCTTGGGCTCGGCTGCTAGCGGTCAACAGAAGATTTCTGCTGTTCTAGATGCGCAAATTGCATCTGAAACTGATCGCGCTGCTAAGCGCGCGCGTACAGCGAATGGTAGCTCTGCTGGTGATGAGGACCAAGAGCCTATCTACGACGATACCATCTTCTACCAGTCTCTTCTCCGGGACCTCGTTGAGCAGCGCATGTCCTCGTCCGATGCTATTACCAACGGTATCGATACATTGCATATTCAACTGCCTTCTCGCGGTCTTTCTATTCACCCTGTGACCGGTATGCGCAAGGACAAAGTCAAGAGGGATGTGGACACCCGTGCGTCGAAGGGACGAAAGATGCGCTTTGAGGTCCATGAGAAGCTGCAGAACTTTATGGCACCAGAGGAACGAGGCACATGGACTACCCATGCCCGAGATGAGTTCTTTGCTTCTCTCCTCGGAAAGACAGCAAGTGGAATGCTACGAGAGGGTGACGATGAGGATGCTAGTGCTGCTGAAGAAAGTGACTCGGATCATGAGGAGGGCGGATTGAGGCTTTTCCGGGGTTAGAAATGCGTGGATTTTGTGAAAAGAGATATGTTGCAGTATATACTTAGGCTAGCCAAAAAGAGTTCTTGGACATATTGTTGTCTTTTGTTTTTCAATTGAGTGCTCAGTGCTCGCCCTTTGAGCAGCGAGATAGCTGAACAGAGTAGTTTCATCCATGACCACCTTCCCCGGAATGTATACCAGAAGTATCCCCTTGCCTATTTCAACGGGCACCCTTCACCCACGGTTTATCTACCTAGGACCTATATGGGGCGAATAACCGATGAAACCTAAGAATAACCAGTAACAACCTCCCTCCGAATGTAACCCGTGGAAATCCATATAGGGACAGAAAGAAAATAGCAGAAGGCCAGCGATGTCTCAGTAATCTCATAGACCAGGAAGCCAAGACAGTCACCAACAAGATACTTGCCCTATCAACTAACCAGGAACAACCAGAATTAATCTACAACGCCCGAGTAATAGCCGCCACAGTCACATACACATCCGCGGTCCAAATCACACCAAAACGCACATGCAAACATCGTTTCTGGACAACTGCGAACAATTTAATTAATAGTTAGAGTATCGATGTAGATCACCAAGGTCCACCCCTGCCATTCTTCCCGTCCCTGGCGGCCCATGCACCACCGGAGTAATCGTCCCTGGCATTGGCTTTGGGATCCACCCTCTCGGCCCTCCAGGGTGTTCAGGCTAGATTGACGATGCCCGGCGGGACCCAGCCGGACATCCGAATGGATAATATCAGTCAATGGTGGTGTGGGGGTGTGTAATCCTTTGTAAACCATATAGGCTGTTTATTAAATTTTAAGGTACGGTACATAGGGGCGTTCTCAGATCCTCTGTTGGTAGTGGTGGGAATGGCAACGGCCCGTCTCGGGGTAATTAAAGAGGATTAAAACTAGGTTAGTCTATAGGCAATGACGGATTGAATCTTTTGGCCAACTTTAAGTGGTTGACCAAGTTTCTTACGTTGGTATTTTAAGAGGATTGTCTATTTACGACAGCGCTTTGCATAGTCCAGCAGGGGTGGCTATGGCGTAGAACTATCTATACTCAGTAGATCGAGCGGTAGGGAAAGGTGATGTCTATAACTGGTTAGGAAGGAAGAAGGAGGGGGTTATATTCTCAGGAATTAATTGTGACTTTGACCACTTGTTCGATTGGAAATAATATATACATGATAATAGTTGCATGTGAACATATAGTTAAAAAGTCGGAAAAGAACTAAATACAACAAACCCTGTGAGCAATTTGGTGGGCGACTGGGATATAACATAAAATGAGCAAACAACAGCTTGCGAGTGGTTAGAAGTATTCGTCGCTGTCTGGGAGCTTGTCAAACTCCTTATAGTTATCTTAACAGCCTGTTACGAAGAGTTTTATTCTCCTTGACCACTGTCTGACAGTGATCATCAACCCGCGGACAGGGCTTGGGGTAGCAGGCGGACTTGTAGTTGATGGTGGCCGGGGTTCCTTACCTGCTACCGGCCCCGTCACTGTGCCTACCAACGCCTAATCACGGCGTACTGTACCCGGGGCCGGTTGTTCTTTAGAACACTAAAATTGCTGTTAGAATACCTGTTCTTTCACGTCATGACCTTGGCATTCATTTTACCATGTCGGTGGCTGTCAGGGCCCTTTGTTCATCGTAATAGGGTTTTTGATTTCGCAATCTAAGTGCGACTCTTCTGGATGCTAGAAGAGATTTTGCTCCGTTTTCGCCTTTTGCTAAGAAGCCGGCCTATCACTCCTTCTGCTTCCTTCATATAATGACAAATTTTTATTGTAGCTACCTCGGGCTATGCATGTATGGGGAATATCTGCATTCAGGTATATATATTAAGACGAATAAAATAGAAAAACTAAGAAGCATTTTTTGATATGTCATAAATTACAATCATGAAGATGCTATACATCTTCCTCAAACTTCAGGGTACCTCTCAACCAGATTGATCGTGTCTAGTTCGTTGACTGTGTCCGGAATCCTCTTATGATTTCGGGCGGATCGACCGCTCTGTCTCGAGGAACTGTAGGGTTCGTAAGATTTGGAGCCAAAGGTCACCGGTCTGCCTCGGATAACGACCCACAGGGGACGCAACGTCGGAAGACAGGCAAGGATGACGGCGAGCGAGATTTCGATATTCGTCCAGAAAAAGACCGGAGAAGTATAGTCTATCACCGTACGTTAGCGCCCACTTCAGAGGTGGTGGGGTTGGTCACTTACACGTTTCATCGTTGTAGTGCTCCATAAAGGTGGTTCCGACATGGAAGTACATGGCCATGCGAGTAATGCTGATTGCGATAACACTTGACCTCCACTTGTTAGTCTGGATGATGGTCGTCGCATGGAGTAGAGACGTAGGAAAAAGGATCTTACGCTGCGCCCATAATGAACATGCCTGCGACGGCCAATCTCTGCTTCATGGGCAAGCGTAGCTTGAAGACCAGAGGTAAAGGCAGTACCAGGATGAACACGTCGATGATCACGTCGGTGATGCATGATGCATACCACATAGAAACACTGTCGATACACTTGTTGCCATAGAATGGCTCGACTAGAGGTGTTATGGGATAACAAGTGAAGAGGTTGCTGAAGAAGAAGGATATCGTCCAGACACCCGTAATACCTAACAGGGCCGCCGAGACATGGTTGAATACGCGAGAAATTGAGAAGATCCCCCGAAGCAATACGAGGAGCGACAGTTTTGTCAGGCCCAAACCAATGACGGCCATCAATTGACTGGCGAACTTGCACTAACGAACAGAATAATTGATCAACTGACCATTCAGACCTTGCGACGGTTCTTTTCCCATATAAACATACCTTTTCATAGGTAAGGAACCGAGGATCGTTGAGAAGTGGCTCTCCATCGGCTCCGGTTGTCTGATGCTGTCCTAGCTGGCCATCGATGGCACCTGGATGGAGCGTGAGCCACTGTCAGACTCATCATTGGGGACACGCGAGATAAGGTACCTATGAGTTGTGTGATAGAACATGCGACTGAGAAAGCCTAGAATTCGTTAGATTGCAACATATACACATGTATATCCACGTACCAGTGCCCCAAAAATCAAGTAGTCATCCCATTGTATACCTCCGCGTGAAACCCACTTGGCCCAAACCCGAAGATTCACGAAGATACACGGAAGAATTAGGAAAGTAATTCCCAACGCAATCATCTGCGTTTTCGAGTAGGTGTCAATCGCCATGACTGTGGTAATAGTAGTGAATAATTGAGATGGGCACACTGAGGCCCGGAGTTGCGCGGGGAGGAGTATAAATGCAAGGCCGGTAAGGTAAGGTACTCCACCATCTCGTCCTGAGATAAGACTGCAGCCAACGTCAACACCTGCAGCACTCATTAGTGATCCCCCCCCCTCCACACGTTCAAGAGGAGTCGAACAAGCCAGGGGGGTTGAGCATTTGTACTATACGGTACGGTACGGACCTTGACAGCAGCAATACAGCGCCGCAGGGTCCCAGTCTCTAAGCTGCCAAGTAGCGCACTAGGGCAAGACCCCTGCCCCTATAAATTAGCTGCAGGTCAAAGGTAGCAGTGCTTTTATTACTCCGGTGAGCCAACCCCTCTGGGAAAGATCGTCAATCATCCATTAACACTTTACCACAAATACAATCTCAGACTGGATTCGGAGTACTCCGTGGTTCCTGATCGCAGAGACCCATGGTCCATAGCGTCAGTACCCACTAGTACTATATGAATTCAAGCTGGTGTCAATGGTGAGGTCCAGTCGAGACTCAGATTACCCGCCTGTGGGCTGATTTGATCGTCTGCGAAGCTCTGTCTGACGGCTCCTGGCGTACTCTATGGTGGGGAACAAGATAGCGTAGGGGCAATTTTAGCCAGGTACTAACAGTAATGAAAGCGATTGAGCGAATCGTCATGCAAATTGCAAAGCCTCTAAAATTAGGGGTAGTGGCTTTCAGAAGGTGGCTGTATAAAATCCTCTAGAAGCCTGACGTGCTCATACCGCCTGTCCACCCCATCGTATTCTGTCCCCCGCGACCTCATGGCGACTCTAATTGTGTCCGTGCTTCTAACTCTTCTCGCCCATGAGGTCCTCGGGTTATCTCCTGTGCGTGTCTCCCACGAGTTGGGACCTCACCTATCTCCATCAGCTTTAATTACTGGCGCAAACACAACCGCGTACCCGCGTTGGAGCGAATTCGATGCCCCTAAGCCCGGAGTTGTGGTAACGGTGGCTACGGAACAGGATGTAGCCAAAACTGTACGTTCTCCTCCCTTTTCTCTTTTCTATTTCTTTTTTGACCCCCCTACTGTGATGTGACCGCTGTCCATTTCTCACACCATGTACTCAACAGGTGCGCTACTGCACGTCCAATGGCATTCCATTTCTGGCTCAAAATGGAGGACATGGGTGGGCAGATACATTTCACTTAGGAACGGAGGGACTTCTGATCAACATTAAACAACTTAACACGATCGATTTCAACGATAACAAGACGGAAGTCACAGTTGGAGGAGGAGTTGAAATCTCAGAGGTGATTGCGGCTGCCTCTAAGAATGGTGCCCTCGTTCAGACCGGTAACTGTAACTGTGTTGGAGCCCTGGGTGCTATCTTAGGGGGCGGATACGGAAACCTCATCGGCCTTATGGGACTTGGAGTCGACAACGTCCTGTTGCTCAACGTGGTTATGGCAGATGGTCGCTTGCACACCATCACGCCCAAGGATGGGGATCTCTGGTGGGCGATGCTCGGTGCCGGCCCTAACTTTGGCATTGTCACGTCTGCAAAATTGAAAGCGCTCCCAGTCTCGCCCTCAGACCAAACTGCCTGGTTTGGACAACTAATCTACACGGCAGATAAGGTCGAAGCTGTGGTGGAGGCCATCGACAAGATCACCTTAGAGCCGAAAATGAATCTTTTTCTGTATTACCTGAACAGTGGCTCTCCGGACTACACGCCTATGCTCGTCATCACACCATTCTACTACGGAACTGAGGCGGAAGGAAGAGCTGCATTCGCAACCTTCCTGGACCTTGGCCCGGCGGAGGACACTACGATCGAACTTCAATACCCGCACTGGAATGATGCGGCGGCGGGCTTCTGCACCAAGGGTGGGTATAAGCCGGCATATACTGTTGGTCTTGCTCGGATGAACCCCAGCACCTGGAAAGAGGTTTGGGACGAGTATGCCTCGTATATTGTGCAAAACGGCACCGGCGGCAGCCTGATTCTCATGGAAGCGTATTCTCTGAAGAAAGCTCGCTCTATACCGGAATCATCTACTGCCTTTGCATTAAGAAACAATGTCAACTTTAATGCCGTTGTTATCCCATGGTACTATGATACCAGCCTTCGTTCGGGCGCCGAAGCTTTCGGTTCCAAGATTCGTGACCTGTGGCGCTCTACTGATGAGCTTGACTCCCCGGCTACGTACGTTCCTTTTCCTTGTCTTTCTCCCAATCTTAGACTAATTTAATTATACAGATACATCAACTTCGCTCATGGTGATGAGGATTTGACTACGATCTTTGGTGCGAATGTGGACCGGCTCAGGGCTATCAAGGCGCGAGTGGATCCGGGAGACGTTTTCAATCAATGGTTCAATCTGTGAAAGCAGTGCTGTATCATACATGTATACTACTAACTAAGGTGGGTAAAGTAGGCTTTACTGTGGCCTAGAAAAATCTTTGGATAGATCGCATGTATTATCTGTCTGTACTTATTGACTATATATCTTCAATCGTCGAGGGAAATGCTGCAGCGGTAACATTTGAATCATCCCAGTCTACTGTTATAGTTTCAATCCTCCACTACCAAGGTACTACACCTTGAGGGCCATGGACTCTGCCTGGCTGATCGTCCTTCTCTCCCTTCACGACTGAGGCGATAATCTGCGCCCCAACCTCCGGCTCCGTCGCGCCCATTCTGCGCAACGCGTCCGCATCTCCAATGACATCAGTTGCGCAGAATCCTGGATCCGCACCTAGGACCCTAACGCTTTTCAGCTTCATATGGTACTGCACCAATAGCATATTGAGTGCAGCTTTGGCCACGCGATGCTCCGTGGCATGAGTGCCGCCATGCGGTGAGTTCGGCTCGAGATTATACGCCATTGACCCGTTAGAAGAGCTCACAAAGACCAACCGGGGGTTCGCAGACTTTAAAAGCAGAGGAAGAATCGTTTCCGTCAGACTCGCTGCACCGGTGACATTGGTCTCAAGAGTCAGCCGCAGGGTATCGCGGACAGCTTCCCGGTTGAGGAGGTAAATGCCTGCGTTATTCACGAGCACGTCCAGACGACCGAAGTCCGATTCAATATGTACCCTTGCATTATCGACAGACTGATCGTCCGTCACGTCTAGCTGGATTGTTGATACGGTGCCATGGATGCCGGACAGAGCGCGGAGAGAATCGGCGGCTGCTTCGCCCTTCGAGCGGTCTCGACTACCGATGATAATGTGGTAGTTGCCAGATAGAAGCAGGTTTTTGGCTGTTTCGTAGCCGAGACCCCGATTTGCACCTGGAATTCAGTGATGGTAAGTTATATTCATGTAACCACGCCGATGTTATAGTAGAGCGGGAAGGCCGTACCAGAGATGAGGACGATTGATTGGGATGCCATCGATATGGCTAGAGCTTCTTTTGCTGAAGTACCCAAGTGTAACTGTTAGCCTTGAAATCAGTGAGCCCTCCCACCCAAGATATACCTGCGATCGGACACTGTAGAGTATTTTTGCGGGGGGTCAGATGAATAGCATCGTCATTTGATAGCAGTCTTATCATATTTCCCCGTGTCCGAATCATCAAGAATCCCGCCGATCGAAAGGACTGGGGCCTATCGTTGAGTCTGTTGCCGGCAGACTAACAGGGATGGTCAGATAGTAGGCAATAACCATTCCTGTAGTAGTGGCTTTGACATTTAGGCCCCCCATCGACTCCCTCTTCCTTCCTCGACAATCTGGCCTCCACCATTCCACGCGACCACAACCACATCAGCTATGAATACCACAGCATTGGAAGCGGATTACATTATTGTGGGCGGCGGGCTGGCAGGATGCGCAGTCGCCTCACGCCTAAAGCAACGCAACCCATCGCTCGACGTTCTCATTCTCGAGGCGGGCAGTGACGCCTCCAGCAACCCCAACACACAATCGTTCCCGGGCCTCTTTTCGCTCCTTGGCTCTGATATCGACTGGACCTATAGCACCGAGCCCCAGGCGAATACGGACAATCGAGTGCACACTATCCATAGTGGGAAGGCCCTCGGAGGAGGGAGTGTAATTAATTTCGGTGGCTGGAGTCGCGGGGATGCGACGGACTACGATGACTGGGCTAGAATAGTCGGAGACCAGCGATGGAGCTACCATGGCTTGCTTCCGTACTTTCGCAGGTCAGAGTCGTTCTTCGACTCTAAAGCAGACCCCAAGCAACACGGATTTGAGGGACCGATTCATGTTACGTCCGTCTCTGCCAGTGACCCCAACAGACGGTATCCCCTTCGGGAGCCAATCAAGGCCGCTTGGAACGAGATTGGGGTTCAATATAACCCCGATGGTTGCTCGGGAAGTTTGTCCGGTCTCTGTGAATTCCTAGAGACCTGGCACGATGGGAAGCGTCAGGCAGCACACCAAGCGTACAGCTTGGAAGGTGTGCAGGTAGTTACGGAGGCTATTGTTCACCGAGTCGAATTTACGGACGGCGACCAGAATGGACAGAAGACTGCTTCTGCGGTACTTCTGTCGGATGGTCGGCGCTTTACTGCACGTAGGGAGGTCATCCTGGCGGCCGGTACTCTCCGGACACCCCAGGTGCTCATGCTGTCAGGGATTGGACCAGCCAGTATACTATCCCAGCACGCGATTCCAACTATCATTGATGCGCCGGAGGTCGGAAAGAACCTAAATGATCACTTTGCGCTCTACCAGCTATACAAGTTGCGCAATCCAGAGCGCGGGCTTGCCCTGGGTAGCCCCGTCCTCTCAGATCCCGCATTTATGAAGGGCTTTCCGGCAGACTGGGCTATTAACCAGGACGTACCGGCGGATATTTTGGGGGCAGCAGTGCGAAATGATAACGCGAGATTCGGCTCCCCCACAGATGAATCTTTCTTGAAACCCGGTCGGCCGCTCGTCGAGACTTTAATTGTCTATGCTCCGGCTGGTGTGCCCGGAGTTCCCATGGATGGCAGCTTCATCATGACCTCAGTCATGCTACTCGCTTCGACGTCTCGAGGAGCCGTCAGTATTCGGTCGTCATCGCCTACGGACCCTCCTCTGGTCGACTCTAATTACTTTGACACGGAAGCTGATCGTGTTACATTGACCCACGGCAGTCGACGCACCATGCAGGCTTTGCTGGACACTTCCGCCTTAGCAGATTATATCGAGGCTGAAGTGCCTCCCCCTGGAATGCCGGCTTTATCATCTCAATCGTCGAACGATGAATTCGAGGCCCGGATCCGGGCGACTGGTCTGGCCCACCATCATCCAGCAGGTACTGCCGCCATGGGCAAGGTAGTCGGTCCAGACCTCCGCGTCTTTGGCGTTCATAATCTTCGTGTCGTAGATGCGAGTATACTGCCGCTGAGTATCGGTGGTCACCCACAGGCTACTCTGTATGCAGTTGCCGAGCAGGCTGCAGACATTATTCTAGGGGCCAACGCTCAGACATGATCACCCTTCATGCAGTTATCAATAGGCTGATTTGATGGTTTCTTTATCTGTGTACAACCAGTGATCATTGCTTATTCCCTGACTTCCCGGCTACATAGAGTCCGTCAAGCGCTCTCATTTCAACAAAGGCATCATGCATAGACAGTCTTATAGGTAACCCATGTCTATACATCCAGAACACAGTCTTATCCGTAAACCATCAGTCTCACCCATATCCATCCAATTGACTGTGAAACCATAATCACTATTATGACTGCATGCCAGACTAGGGATCATCTCTTAGCCCACACGTGCATACGAGAGTCTACACGCCAGGCAATTGCACTAAGCTAGTAATTTCAGCGGCAGCGGCGGAATTATTTCGGAAGATACTCCTTCGCCCAGGGGTACCAGACATTGATGCTATAGCAGGGTACATTCATTAAGCCACCAATCAGCCGTCTGCCTGACTCGTTAAGGAGGCGTGCATTACTCGCGTATACACTATAGGAGTCAGAGCGCAAGAGTGTATACGTGTGCTAATATCTATCTACCTAGTCATTGGCGTAACTGAAGGCTTACCTTCTGCACTCTAGGATCCTAGCTACATACGAGCAGGGGGCACACAGACAATCCAACACCGTGCCACATACAGGTACCACCGTGTAATACGAACGGCTGCTGCGTATCATTGCCGCAACGGTCAAGGCACAGATCCAGCTAGGGTTTGAGCCTAATTAACCTGATGGGCGATCCCGCTTCCCCGTCGGCGATCGACACCACGCCACCCGTGAGATTATCGACTGAATTCATGACCCAGGCGAGAAAGCAATGAGGCCCATGCACTCGGAGTATTCAGCATTGAAGTCTAAACTCAATATTTCCTTCACATACATCGTTCCACAAACTGCAAGGATCTACATGAAGCCATGACCACCACTAAGCCACATCCCCTTTCTATTCCATTTCTTTATCTTGTCTCCAGAGGCTGGGCTTGATATTTCTCATCTGATTGACTAGAGAACCAGCTATTGCGAACTACGCTTCTCCGACCAGCTGTTGCGGACAAAGTCGTCTGCGTCCTCGCTGCGCTTCTCTGACCAACTGTTGCGGACGAGATCATCGGCGTCGACGACAGCTTGATTCCGGGATAGAACTAGTCAGCTCACAAACCCTGTACGGGTTATATATGGGACAAGGAATGACAGTACCACTCCGAGTAGGGAAGGCTGTGGCTGCGCCCAGAGCGAGCATAAGGAGGGATATGTATGTGGTGGTTCGCATTGTTTCTTTGCTGTGGCTTGGTCTCGTGTCTGTTGGTTGATTGGGATAGGGACCTGCTGCGTGCTTTTGCTGAGGACCCGGAGTTATATATGCCCTACGGTGAGAAGAATGGATGCACAGGCTCAGTTCATGAGGGTACGACAGCGAGAAGCAGAACAATCCATTCGGATGGTAGATTGCAGATCGAGTGCTGTTCTGGTGTATTGCGGTTAAGACTCATTGGCTACGGCCAATCCGTCGAGTGCGTATACGCAATGCCTCGTTCTCGGTGAGCATTTTCATGCATACAGACCTATATGGAATAATGTGAATACGAGTCTCTGGGTGTCGAGCACCATTCTGCAATATTACAGCATCAACTTATGTTTCCCTGGTTAGGGCAAAAGCTTAGCGTCGGTACTTCCTCCAATGATATGAGCTTGGTAGTAGTTCAGAATCCAATGTACGGTCTTCTATATTGTTAGTCGTCACTGCGTCTGTTTAGCCAAAATCCTTCGTAATGTAACCGCTCGTGTCCCTAATGAGGGGTTCTCCTGCTCGTGTCGATCCCTGGGGCAGTGGAACAGGTTATGACAGGTACCGTATTGCGCGATACAGGTCTGCAGATGTGTATCTCAGCAGCTATACTCAAATTAAGGAATGTACTCTGCATGTTCCAAAGCTGATTGCTTTCCAGACCATGACACCGTCCTTTCCCCAAGGAAAGGCACAATATCAACTACTATCTACACCCGATGGGATCAGAGCACTCCAACCCAATCCCTAGGAAACCCTCGCCAGTGTACACCAGAACAGGGGCAGTACTCGTGCAGGTGATAGTGACATTCACAATAGCCCTCACATTGGGCCTGATAATCGGCCAGAGACTATCAGTCAACACGTGGGATGGATTTATACGTGAGAAATCCATTCCCCTCCCACAGATCAAAGATATACTGAGAACATTCATCTTATCAGTACCCCAAGGCACAATCAAAACAGCCTGGGAGCATAACCTCACCTTTTCCCAACGCCCACGCCCGAGTCCGAAGCAGCGTGGAATTCCATAATCCCAGGTAATCCAACTCACACGTCCAGCAGGGTCAAGAAACACACTAACATGGAGAACCAGTCGGACGGGGTTTCATTCACCATCCTGAACTCGCGCCGTTCATCTCGAACATCGCTGTCTTTCACCAATTGCATTGCTTGGTGAGTTGGTTTTCCGCTTTCCTTTTTGTGTTAATAGGTAGTTTTGACAGTTGGGTGTCCTGGTGCTATAGCACGCTATTCTAGTCGCCTACTACGTCGCCGTGGAGGAATCGGATGTAGCGAAGGGGTTGCAGCGTCCGGATGAGTACCTCCAACAGACGGGAACGAGAATGGCTCCATCGCATATTCGACATTGCTTCGACTACCTCCGACAAACGTTGATGTGTGCGGCGGATACGAATCTAGAGGTGCTGGATCCTGAAACGCATACGACGAGTGGATGGGGGCAGAGCCGGCGGTGTCGGGACTATGATGAGATCGTGATGTGGGCGGAGAAGTGGGCGAACTCGACGGATACGGGGATTGTTACTTGAGGTTTAGCATTAATGAATTATGAATATATGTATTGATTTGTGGACATGTTTATATTATACCAAGGAGAGGTTGAGTGTAAACGTTACAAAACCACAATCATATCATCCATTTGTTGTCTCCAGCAAGATCTACTGCACCAACATCCCATAGTCACTCATATCCACCATCCTCGATCGCGCCCACTGATCCAGCGCCTCCCAGTTCACGCACTCGTGGTCGCTATACACCCGCGAATACGGCAGCCCGTCGACCCAGCGGAAGGTCGCCAGGGTCGTATCGCCGCGACACATGGCTGCTTCGCGCCAGTACTCGAGACAGTGGTCGATGTGGGCCTCCTCCCGGATACGGTCATCTTCCGTCATATTGGGGTAGTACCGATCGAGATGGAAGTGGCGACGGATGCGTTTCTAAAGACTGAGTGTTAGCTGTAGTCTCCAATAGGTTGTGGATGGATGGATGGATGGATGGCGCACGATGCAGTGGATTTCGTGGTATACGGCTAACTCTGCGATGTACCCTGATCCATCTTTGAAGGCGATGCTTGGGTCTGCGAGGTGGGAGAGTTCTTCGGAGGAGATTTTGGTCGTCATGGCTGGTTTGGAGGTTAGTGGTTGTAGATGGAATGGGTGGGAGAGGGCTTACGCTCGAGGAGATGTTTCCAGGCTGCGTCGAATTCGGGACGGGGATTGCCTGTGAACACGTTGTTTTCGATATCCCGTTTGAGACGTCGCTGTTCGTAGGATATGACTTGTTTGGCGGGGGCTGTGGGGTGGGTCAGTCATCTTGATATACGGTTGTGCTGGATTTCCATGCTCAAGGGGAAACAACATACAATAAGACAGTTTTGGTCGGACGCACACCTCGCTCAGTATAGTGGCCCGCCACCAGAGGCCAAAAAGCACAATGTTTGACAGTAGTAAGAGGGAGTAGAGTGTATAGTGGAAGTATATGGATCGTCCATGTTCTCTGTGGAGGGCCCGTCGCTGCTCATCAGAGGTTCGGGACGACTCTATATCGGACGAGGCAACGGGGGAGTAGTCGTGCTTGGTGGTGTCCATGATAGCGTCTTGCTCTCCAGGTCATATATTCCGAGGGGATGGCGGTTGTTATTATCCACCACTCCTTTAAATTTACACAGTATTGACAATACAACCAAGGATCGGCCGTGGGAAGATACGAGCGGAGCATCCGCCGGGGCTGCTGCAGAGCTAAAGCATCGTCACACTTCGGCTCTTGCAGAATGCGATAGCCGGCCAGCCAGATTAGCCGGTTTTGCCAATACAGGGCTTGATAACTCAGTGTAGCCATTGCTTATGATGTCCGTCTTGTAAGTGATCCAAGCCTCTACCCCCACCTTCCTCTAATATCATGACTCTTGAGAATTAACTCGCGATGAAGTTGCCTGCTTCATTTGCATACTTGAGACGCTGCCATCCTCGCCACTTATCAGCTCTGTACCATACTCGCAGACCCTTCAGCACCACAACAACCCACCTCAACAAGGATGGCGACTCCGCCAATGTATGGAACCTGACCCACGAAGACGTCTCCCAGTACTGGAGAGGCTACCTTGCCACACGCCCCAAATATACAGACGCATTCTACGACCTGATCTACAACTACCATGCCTCACACTCACAATCAAAACCGCCCTCATTCTCCATCGCCCACGACGTCGGCGCTGGACCGGGCCAGGTCTCCGCGAAACTGGCCCAGAGATTCTCCCACGTCGTCGTAAGCGATAACAACGAGAACCACGTCAATTATGCCAAGCACTTCCTGTCAAACACCAGCGTGCCAGCATCCCGATTCTCTTTTGCAGTCAAGAAAGGGGAAGACCTGGGCTCCAAGTACCCACCCGCCTCCGCCGATCTGGTCGTCAGTGCACTCATGTTCCCGCTCATGGATACCATGTCTGCGCTGCGAAGCTTCCATGCGCTTTTAAAGCCTGGTGGAACGCTCGCGATATGGTTTTATGGACGTGCGCACTTCGCCGAGCTCGAGTATGCGGGGCTGTGTCAACCGCTCTTGGACAGGATCATCAATCATCATTTCTCGGGCGTGATTGCCGGAGGGGGCCCGGAGCACACGGCGGGATGGAAGCATGTGGCGGATGGCATAGCCAGTTGGCTGGATTATATCCCCTTTGCGAACGAGGACTGGGGGTCTGTCGAGCGACACAAGTGGAATGCGAAATGGACTAGTCTGGGGTTCTTTGGTAACGAGGCGTGCAATTTTGCCGTGGAGCCGAGGAGTAGTGTCACAGACGCGGAGGCGGTGATCGACAGGGACGATAGGAGTCTCTGGAGGAAGGATTGGGATGTGGGTCAACTTCGTGAGTTCGTTCAGTATATATACCTTTTCAGGGGATGGAGGAGGAATCTGTGAAGCCGTTGTGGGCGCGGCTGGAGAGAGAAATGGGCGGGTTGCACGCCAGGCGGGCATTTTCGTGGCCGGTGGTTTTGATTTTGGCGACGAGGAAGTGATAGGACTTGACATTGACTGTAGCGTGGACATGGTGGATACTTCAATACTATGTTAAATAGCTTGAAATACACAACTTAGTAACTTAGAAGTTACGTCGTCTGGCCTGAGGTATCCTGGCTATATCATGGGCCCCTCTCCGAATCGTAGCAAGCTATATCACTTTAATGATGATATCCTGATGCCCTGCGGGTAAAGACAGAATTATTGAAAGACTATTCCGTCCACTGATATCATTACTGCACTGAAATCATAATAAATTTGACGCTATTCGCGGACAAAGCGGACTGACTTTGAGGGGTTAAAAAGAGAAGGGAGGAGTAACTCCAGGAGCAGACTCTCGAACTTGGGGATACCTGTTTATATGTATATTTCCAGTGAAGAGCTTGTGATAGTGTTGGGTACTCCTGATACGGTTTCATTCTTAGGGCAGCTTTTGCGCAGTGGTGAATGCTGATTACATAGGGAATCCCGATCTAGACATGACGAGGTATTGGCATGATGGTGGTTTGGGGATGCTGTCCCTTTCCTTTTTTTGGCTGACAAGAGGAGCTGCTGCGAACTATGAACAATTTACTAGCGCTTGCTGGGTAGGTGTTCGATGATTTTATCGTGATACTTGAATATGTTAGTGATGACTCGGCTGAATACGCTGGGACGTCTTGACTAGGTAGCGGAATAATAATACTATGTCTTATTCTTCACTCTCCTTATATCTCTTACTCAGCTTGGCTTGCGATCCGTTGAACTGTTATAAACCTTTTACCTACTAAAAGATAAAATGGAATAAGGGAAGATCTCAAGGACATTCAACTATCATACACGCATAGGTGGTAGATGATACGGTCGACCTAAAGTCTGCTTTGTATAGAAACATAAATACTAAATTGGCAGGCGTTCTATGGCCATATCATAAAGTAAACGCTGTGCTTAATATCAAAACCAATTCCCTGTTCCGCTGGCATTTCCATCGTCATTGTCATAAATCATAATTGGCTCTGAGACCATCCCGGAGTCCTTCCACTGGATTCACCTGGTTCACACCTTGACTGTGGTGGTGTAGAGAGCACTCTCAAAAGGCAGCCGCTGATACCCCCTAAACTAAGGAAGACGTATACAGTTTCAGGGCCACTGGTGTGTCACGTTGGTCGCGCACGTACCACGTTTCGAATTATTTCCGCTGATCTCATTTCGTATATGAGCGTAACTGTGTGTCTTTTGGCGGAGAGTATCGTGGTAGCGTAGCACCGTGGCATGGCTGCGACCAAGCAAATTCGGTCTCTCGCCTAAGCCCCATCATTCTTTCTTGAACGGCACGCTGCAGCTTTGAGTTCCTTTCCTTCTCCTCTTGAGGAGACAGAAAGTAGGGAAGCCCGTTGCAGTCCACTACGACGGAGCCGCTCACGGAGTTGTAGCCTGGAAGAGCGCTATTCATGGCAGCTGTATTGCTGTTGGGGAGCATCATGGGCCTCCACTTAGACGATCGTCTCGAGAGTCGATTATTGTAAGAAGACAGACGTTGATAACTGTGAGAGGGCGCTGGCGGGTCGATGTTTTGCCAATAGAACGACGGCTCTTGGGATGCCGAGCTAGATACGGGCTCCAGCCGTGCTTGGTGTTCTTTTGTCGGTTGGGCGGCGTTGGGTATGCGTGGCTTTCGTGTTGTCGAACCAGTAACAAATTCTCCGTCGGTCGGATAAGAGGTGTGGGTTTCCACCGATCTTGCTTCAGTTGCAGGTGATGACGACGAGGAGAGCCGCGACCTCAGATGGCGGAAGATAGGCATTGGGGGCTGTTGCACTAGTGATATACACTTCCAAAATAGGATACAACTGAGGTGAAATACCTGCTTTTGAGCCTAACGACCAAAGTAAATTCCAAAGAGGGAGGGGGTTAGTGAGAGGGGATGAAGAGTGCGAACGGTGGACTTGTTTTTACAAGCGCTAGTCTGGTGGTGCGTGGTTGCCAATTATTGCTATCCCGAATGCAAGAAACGCTTGATCCTTGTCAAGAGCAATTCACCGGGCAGCTAAGAATGTGAGAGGGCAGATTCCAGAAGCTGGTTTTAGCACACTGCGTGGAGAGTGTAGAGCTTAATAGATTCGGCGAATACACGCCGATCCGTTATCGGGGCGACAGGCAAATCAAGGTTGCTCTTTGTGCGCCTCGCTGATGTGATTTATGATAGGAGATCTCCGGATGTCCTAAATTAGAAATGGGTCAGGGCGGCAACACGATGCAAGATGCTTTCTCGCCGTATATTATCCGGTGGCTGTCAGCCTGATAGAAGAGGCCATTGTGATAGGTTAGTTGGAGATCGGAGAGGATTAGGGCTAATGCAGGGTATGGTGTCATGGTGCATCGCCATCTCAACTTTCACCGCTCCTGTTTTCATTAGCAAACAAACACACGCAACCACGGCAATTATAAGCGATAGGGCTAGAAAGAAATCCTTTGTTGACTAAAATCAGTATCAACCGTGACAGCGGATCCTTTCTCATCTGCTCAGACGGTTTGAGGGAGTAAAGAAATGAAAAGGAAAAGACAAATCTAATAGGATAAACAAAATCCGCCCAATTTTAGTGGCATAACGAGAAATCGCCAATGGACTTCTACAAAGGCAGATTCCCACTTGCCTGACATGGTTGGGCTCCCAAAGTCAATTATCATCGGATCCATCACACCACTGCTCTCTCAGGGACTGAATTGATTGGGACACGTCCCAGCCAGTCCTTGTCTCCACGTCTCTTAGCAGATTTTCAGCAGCTTCCTGATCTTGCCTTTGCCGGAGTATCCACCCCCCTACGAATAGATGAGTATATTAGAAGACAACCACGTGAAAGGCAAGAGACAACAGCAACAACGCGGAACCACCGTGGTGATACTGGTGGCCATGAGGATCCCTTAGAACTCACATGAAACTAGACTATGCCGCGCAGTGAAAAGAGTGTTTTCGGCCCGTGGGTTAGACTTTGCTAAGCCAAGGACGGTGAGAAGGTGGCCTCGAACGGTTTTCTAGTCAAGGATATCAGTCACACTGTCATTCTTCCACGGGAGACAGATTCAGAAAGTTTAACCTCTATATTGCGCGATTGCCTGAAACTCTCGTACGCCAGAGACGGGTTCGGACGATAGGAAAATGCGAGTATGATTTGAGCGATATGATAATACTGAACGCCAACCACTACGACACATATGTTAGCTGACATGACCAACACAAACTCGAGGTGGGGCCTACCGTGGACGGGCAGCAGCATCCAGACTCCTGGAAATCTTCGATGCACCTCATTGCTACGAGGGACATACTGGATAGGCTGGAATGTGGGCGGCTTTCCGGTATTCCATTTCTCAATCTCCTTACCAATTTCTTCTAGTATCGAATGACTGACTGTGCGATCGTGATTGAATGCGTGTTTGAGAACCTTGGCTAGAAGAAAGACCATCCGACTCGCCCAAGCAAAATCGTCCTCCCGGCGGAAGACATTTGAATTGCTGAAACGATGCAAGTCCGTTTGTAATGGTCGTTGCGAAATGAGTGATATGTAAATGTCCTCACGTAGGCATAACCAAGCTGCTGCCTCACCAAGGCCTCCGCTTGATCCGAACGATGATATCGTATTCAAGATCTGGGTTGTACCTGTCAAATGGAACTGATGGTCCTCACCTAGTTCGGGTAAGCCTGGAGCAAATGTTTGTGTTACGTTTGAGCGTACAGTCCATTTCCTCATGCTGCCGGAGAATCGCAACTGCAGCAAGAACCGTATCTGTGATACTATCTCTGGGCCCAGACAGAACGGGAATAAGAAGCTGGAGGCAGTGGTTATGGTATTGTAGGGCTTCAGATATGTCTTTTTGTCTCTGTCTATCTATATGTCGAGAAGAGAACGCAAAGATTGCATAACGTAATACTGGCTCCCCAAGTGCTCTCAATGGGACTTCGATCTCAAAATGTCGTTGGGGGTCGGTTATATCGGCCTTGTGATTTATCAGTGCCTGCTCTGTGTTTTCAACCACCGTGTTTATTAGTGATTCACTCACCCACAGGGCCATATTGTCGACATAGTTGCGTATAAGTGCGGCCTCCCTCTCACTAAAAGAGGCATTCTGAGCATCGGTGGTTCTGTTCTCATGCAGGTTCCTATTTGGCGATGAAGGCAAACTAGACCCACGATCATTTCCAAGATACAAGGGTACCCCTGGGGTCTGACAAGCTGGCCCGTTACCGAACACATAGTTAGTTGAGATGCGCCAAACAAAGGAACCAAGAGACAATATGACGACGAGAATCTCCTCACTATATATATGTGGTACGGATGGACTTATAGATGATCGAGGTCCTGAGGCAGACTCCGACTCCGACAGTTCATGTTGATCAGGGCTCGTGTATAGCCCAACTGGGGCTCCGAAACTGGAATCGTACAAAGAGTCTAAGGTGCCACTCGGGTGAAAGGAAGTATCAGAGTCACCAATACAATATTGCTCTTTGATGGCGATAGTTTCATCGTAAAATTGAACTTGAACTGGGTTAATTGAGATTCCTCACATGATATTGGTCAACGTGTATTGCTCACAGGGCCCTATCGGATGTGGCCAAATGCCTCTTTCTGGGAATACAATGTCGTGGTCATTGTTCAGATCTAAGCCTTCGCGGAACCTCACATTAAAGCTTCTATCGCAATCGACCCTAGCTTGTTTGCAGTGATGGCAGACAGGGGAAAGGGTGTCACCTAAAAATCGAGTAAAACATTGAGCTGATGGTGAGGGTATGGATCATACATACATTTGAGATGCCGAGCTGGAAAAAATTCCCGGTTAGCTTTGCTATCCTCATAGATCTATGAGATGGTCACCCTTCCTCCTACCTCTACATCTCCGACTAGGACAACGGTTAGCTTTAGTGCAAGTATGGAATATTAGTATGGTCCTTGCAGATAAGGAGAAGCAGGAGGAGTTCTTATTGGACAATTAGTACCAGCCACTAACTAGACGACTCCTCTTTTCTCGAATTAGAGTCATAACGATGCAGATGAGAATAAGACACGGAGAGACTTTCCAGGAAGTGAATCCAGTTGATGGATTTCTCCACATCCACGTAACCCCGCATGGGTCGCGGCGGTGTTGCTGCCTGAGGTGTCAATAGACCCGTTGGGATGAAAGGGAAAGTATCTCCATCTGATGAGAGGGACGGCAACTCTTTCCGTTCCCCACATCCCAAGTATACGCTCAATTCCACTGAGATAAAATTAAACTGCAGGGAGCTTTGACAACGAACGGCATACCAACCAGACATATTGTGGGTCTTCTCCAACATAGCAAAGATGCATAGCAGACGGATATTCTTGCCTCACACCAAAATGGTCCAGTATTCCATTTTGCGATCTCCATATATTCCAGGGTATATAAGGCGCGCAAAGGTGCTCCTCGAGTCACAAGAACCAGCTCCGGAATTCCTTTCACAACATCTCTCTCCTCCATCTCATTGTATAACCTCTTTCTTCTGCTTGTATACTGATTGTGATTTCCATCTGAAACACCATCTTGCAAGATGTCCGTCCACAAGCTCAAAGTCGGTATGGCTGGTCTGGGCCGTGTTGGCAAGATCCATGTCATTAACCTTTTGCATCACACTCCTCGTGCTGAGCTCGTGGCAGCTTTCTCTCCTGATCCTGCAGAGATTGCCTGGGGCAGACAGAACCTGGAGCCATATGGCGTGACTCTGTATGATAACTACGACAAGATGCTCGAGCATCCCGGCCTAGCGGCAGTAGCCATTGGCACAGCGACATCTGTTCATGCCGAGCAGACTATTAAAGCCATCGACCGTGATCTACACGTTCTCTGTGAGAAGCCACTATCAACAGATATTGAAGTGGTAAGTCTGGATCTTAACATTGGTTTCCAGCCTTTTCCTTGCACATATGTTAACGGCTTTCACAGTGCAAAGCGGTGGTGCAGAAAGCAAAGACCAAGCCTCATCTCAAAGTCATGTGTGGCTTTTCTCGCCGATTCGATGAGTCTTACCGCGAGGTCCACGACAAAATCAGTCAAGGCCTGATTGGTCGACCTTCTATCATTCGAAGCCAGACATGTGACAAGTTTGACCCCTCAGGATTTTATGTTGCATATGCCGCATGGTCTGGCGGTGTCTTCGTTGATATGTCTGTTCATGACATCGACCTCACCTTGTGGTTCTTCGGTGATGACTCGGTCCCTAAGAGCATTTCTGCCCACGGAATTACAGCTGTCCAGCCGGAGCTGAAGAAGTACAACGACTATGACAATGCAGTAGGAATTGTCGAGTTTCACAACGGCAAAATTGCCTATTACTATGCTCCCGCATGATGGCACACGGCCAGGAAGACACGACTGAGGTCATTGGCACCGAGGGTAAATTATCTGTCAACACCAACCCTCAGCGTAACTTTGTCAACTTCTATCACTCCGGAGGTATTACACGAGAAGTTCCTAGCAACTTCATCGGCCGATTCGGTGCTGCTTTCGTTAAGGAGGCAAATGAGTTCACCGCTGCTTGTCTAGACAATACGCCTCTTCCGATTAAATTGACTAACGCAGTCAAGGCTGTGGAAATCGGTGCCTACCTTCAGGAAGCCCTAGTAACTGGGAAACAAATTCACTTCGACGAGATTGGAAGGAGGATTGAGAAGCCTATGCTGTAAAGGCGGGGGGTTAAATGATTTCTCTATAGAGGAAGACTGTTCATTAACGAAAAGCAATCTCCATAAAACAAATCTCGAGCGCTAGGTTAAATCGCACTTGTACCTCACAATCCGCTCGAGCACCTCACTTCGTAATGTTTCAAAGAGTACCTTGGCTTCTGTATGTGTGTAGTACTAGTATTTATGAGCCAGAGCTTCAAGTTTGTATAGCTAGACTCCTGTTAACGTACCCCGCATTCTTGGGCTGTCTTGGCAATCAATCGAATAAATCCCCAGGACATTAATGTATTAAAGTTCGTGGCTCTAATCGTCCACTGTCCACTGTATTAAAAACAGTCGAATGAACAGGCCTCTAGTACTGCCCTGTCATAGAGATCGACATGTCCATCAACCCACCGGGCGTTCCGATGCATGACGAATCACCCCCATGACGAAACTGATCGACGAGCACACACCAACGACCGCGTGGATAAATGTGATCTGGGCTCTTGTGTTTCACGAGTAATGCGCCTGGAATTCCTCCGGCCGACCATATATCCTGCAGTCTTATTCGCCCAGCTAACCGCAGAGTCACTACATCTATATTTTTGTTTCTAGAATTGCCAGATTGGTAGGAAATTTCTCAAAGCTTCCAGTCATTATGTATCTTGATTTTCGAGATCGTTTAGGGATTGGCACCCTTTTCACAGCGGTTATCTCTATGTTTTCGCGCGAGAGAAGCGCCGTAATTTATAGACCAGCCTTACCTCCTTCCTACCCTTTGGCAGTCCGCAACCCATATCTCTCGACATGGATGCCTAGCGATCAGGTTCAAACTTTGCCATATGCAGAGCCTCAGTTTTGGACCGGACAGAGTCTCTCTTGGTCGGTGATGGCGCGGGTTGACGGGGAGACGTACAGCTTGATGAATGGGAAGAATGCAGGAGATGATGATATTTTCCCGGCTATCGTTTCGAGTGCAGAATATACTTCCACTCACTCAATATTTACTCTGTCTGCTGGCCCGGCGACTTTCACCCTTGATTTCTTTTCACCTGTGTCGCCTTCCAATCATCTCCGACAGTCTCTCCCGTTCAGTAAGATATACTATTTATGATCCATGATAATCATGTCGTTAGCTGATATGAGTGTTATAGGCTATCTGACGGTGTCTATATCGAATGCTGCTGCCAACAGCATTCAGATTTATTCCAGCATTGACGACCGATGGGCAGGAAAACAGGAAAACTCCAACCGAAACTTCCAGAAGAAAAACACTACAGCTATCTTCTCTCTTGGGGTTAATAATTCTGTCCTGTATGAAGAGCGTAGTGATATGGCAACATGGGGCCAGGCTATATTTGCGTCTCGTCCAATACCCACTTCCAATCTTTCCTTTGCCTCTGGAACGAGCGAGAACGTGCGCTCCCGCTTTATCAGGACAGGGCACTTAGATGGAAACGACCATTGGCTTCCTGGAGGAATTGTAGCTCTATCTCATAACTTAGGAACAGTTACTAGCAGTCAATCCGTCACATTTGCTGTTGGTTATGTGAGAGAGGAAGCAGTCAATTATCTTGGGACGCCATATACGGGATACTATAGAGCCAAATACCCAGGGACACCTGAGGCAGTCACCTATTTCCTGGACGATTATCAGGATGCTCTCCAGGAATCGCTGAAGTTTGACTTAGAGCTGTCTACTAAAGCTAAAACAATCGCAGGTCAGAAGTATGCGGACATTGTTACCTTATCGACCCGTCAGGCTTATGGAGCTATTGATCTGACTATTCCTAATGATTCACTTGATATCGATGATACCCTGGCGTTTGTGAAAGAGGTCTCCAGCGATGGCAATCTCAATACTGTTGATGTTATTATGCCTGCCTTCCCCCTATACTACGCCATGAATCCTGACTACATACGATTATTGCTAGAGCCTATGATGAGGTACCTTGCAGCGGGGCGCTGGCGGGAGCCGTATGTAATTCATGACATGGGCTCCCATTACCCCAATGCTACTGGTCATGACAACCAACAAGCCGAGCCAATGCCGATTGAGGAATGCGGTAACTTGATGATCCTAGCACTAGCATACGTGCACGCAACCGGCGATAGAGAATGGGTGGCCAAGTACCAAGATATCATGAGACCCTACGCGGACTATCTGGTTGACAATGGTGTTGACATTGCGGAGCAGCTATCTTCCAATGATGCTGCAGGGCCTCTTGCTAACGAGACAAACCTAGCCATTAAGGCTGCAGTGGGAATTAAGGCATTCGGTCAATTGACTGGGCTTACTGAGTACTCCCGTATTGGCAAGGAACGAGCAGACCTCTTCTTCAACCAGCGGCTTGGAACCGATGGGCAGAAGACACACTTCGTGCTACAATACCCAGACAAACCCGCCTCCTGGAAGATCCCATATAATTTATACCCAGATGTACTGCTTGACCTTGGCACTTTTCCTCCAGAGGTTCATCACATGTCAAGCACATTTTTCAAGTCAGTTCGAGGAGAGTACGGAGTTCCTCTTGATAGCCGACAGGACTGGGCCAAATCCGACTGGAATATCTGGCTAGCTGCCACTTTCGACTTGGACACCCGAGACGAATTTGTGGAAGACCTGTGGACGTTTATGACCAACGGAAAGCATAATTGGCCTTTCTCTGATCGTTATGTTGCCACATCAGCTCAAGGGGCAAATCCCGGGGTGCCCATCTTGTGTCGTGCTCGGCCGACAGTGGGTGGGCATTTTGCGCTGATGGCTTTGAACGGGCCCGGATCTCTTTGGAGCGCTGCGTCCGGCGCTATGGAATTACCCGACACCATGGATGAAGAGGGCTTTGAGACGCAAAGAGAAGAGCTGTGAGTTGGTGGAGCCGCTTGTCAGTACAGTGTCGAGTGTGATTCTGCACCGGCAATGGATTTGCCATGAGAGTAACACTATGAGCATTATACTAGTACTTAACTACAACTGCTCCTTTGGGAACAGTGAATAAAAAGTATAGGGACGGTAGTCAATCCTTGAAAGTGATAATATATATGTTGTATTGCTGCTGAGCCCTGGGGCTCATTGCCATAACTCAGACATGAGACACTTAATCCTTTTAGAAACCCATTGTTTGAACAAATTGGCCACGGGCGACCCCTTGCATTGATGCGTTGCCGAAGTTTGTATGATTCTTCAGGCCTTCAGGCACCAAGGAAGCAACGACCCCCTAGGGATTACATAAGCTATTGCGGCCTCAGGCTGTTGTGTCCCGTCAGGTCAGTGACACTCTTTCCCCAAGAGTTTCGCTGCATCCAAACTGCTTCGCCGCTGTGTTTAGCTTTCCTTCTCCCTGTTTATTTGTCGTCCTGTCTTTTGCTTCTTCTTTCTCTCCCTCCCTTTTTCGCTTCATCGCCGCCTATAAGCCTTCGTCTCTTATATTCCGCCCCTTGATAAGATCCTACTCATGGCTTCTGTATGTATTCCCTCTGTTTGACTTCTCCGCCATTTGCTCTCCCGTGCAGATAGCTGGCCAACGTCATGGCTCGCCCACCACGCGTTTGTACGCGCCAACGGAACAAGCATGCCTACTGACACCTCCGTGTTCCTCTTCTAGCCCCGTCCTCCGCACAACTTCGGTCCGCAAGGCTATCCTCTCCCCAACGGTGCTACTGGTCCCGTACCTGGCGCCACCCCTCTTCTGCCAAACAACGGCCGAGTCATTCAGAACGGCCCCGTCAGAGTCCTGTGCATTGCAGATGTTCGAGGTAGGCTTCTCTAGCATACACCCGTGGAGACATGGTGGTAGAGATGCGCTTGACTAACTGGTATTTCTTTTTTCCGTTTGTGTTACGCAGGTAATCTGAAGTCTCTGAATGAGCTGGCCAAACAGGCCCGTGCAGATCATATCATCCACACCGGTGATTTTGGTTTCTATGATGACACATCGTTGGATCGGATCGCCGAAAAGTGAGTAATGCACTTGATATTTGAGCTTATCTACGGATCAGATTACGTTGGGGCTTCAGTGTCCGAAATTGAATTCGCTGACGGCTGGGTATCCAAATTTAGGACCCTTAAGCATGTGGCCCAATACTCTCCCCTGCTTCCTGAAAACGTGAAGCGGGCCATCGCACAAACTCCTCCCCAGCAATCCATTAAGCAACGATTCCCCCCCGATCAGCTACCCCTCTCCGAGCTTTCTATGCTGCTCGACAAGCGGCTCACACTTGATGTCCCTGTATACACCGTTTGGGGTGCCTGTGAAGATGTTAGGGTGCTGGAGAAGTTTCGTTCTGGAGAGTACAAGGTGAATAACCTTCATATTATCGACGAGGCCAACTCTCGCCTACTGGATATAGGTGGTGTCAAGCTTCGTCTGCTCGGATTGGGAGGTGCAGTGGTTATGCACAAGCTGTTTGATAACGGCGAGGGCAAGACCACTATTGCCGGTGGCCTAGGCACCATGTGGACTACTTTGCTGCAAATGGGTGAGCTGATTGACACAGCGAATCGTGTGTACGACCCATCGGAAACTCGTATCTTCGTCACTCATGCGTCACCCGCGCGTGAGGGAATGCTTAACCAGCTATCTGTGACCCTGAAGGCTGATTTCTCGGTTTCTGCCGGTTTACATTTCCGCTACGGCTCCTCCTACAATGAATTCTCCGTGAATCCCTCATTGGACCACTACCGAGGCAAGCTAGCCGCATCGAAGGCTTCCTTCAACGATGTTTGGGAGACGGTGCGCGGTGAGGTCGAGGCTGCAATTGCCTCTAACGAAGCCCAGAAGACGCTCTTGGATAATGCTCTCGATGTAGTGCAGAAGATGCCTACTATCGCTAACGGTGGGAACCCGTTCGGCGGACCTACTGGCCCCGGAAACGCAGCTGGTCAGGTCGATGAAAGTGCTTTCAAGAATATGTGGAACTTCAACCTTGCAGATGCAGCATTTGGTTTCCTGGTCCTTGAGATCGAGGCCGGCCGTATCGCGACGGAAATGCGCGCCCAGGGTTTCAACTTCGCACACCGCGGCGGTAAGCCTCCTGTGCCTGCCGTTGCTGGACAGCCCAATCCTCCTGTGCCTACCGGTACCCCTGGTGTGGCCTCCCCGGCAGCCCGCCCCGCTGTTCCTCAGTTTGGCCAGGCCCAGCCTGTTGCCGGACGTCCTGGCGCCCCTCAACAGCCGCAGCCTCAACCTCAGCAGGGACAGGCCAAGCTCCCGCCGCAGCTCCCACTCGCACTTCCCCAGTTCCCGTTATTCCCAAGCCTGCA